TGTTTTGTTTTTGTTTTTGTTTTAAGCTGTTGTCAAAGATTTTATTTTTCTCTTGATTCTTTCAACGAGATTATGTTTTTGACTTTCATTCAATTTGTTCATGTTGATCGATTTTTTGTTTTCCTGTGATCACACAAATGTGATCGATGTAGTTCACCTTGATGATGATTTTTTTTTCGTTTGGAATTCGCATTCATTCAATCTGAATAATAATAAAGTTATGATGGCAAAAACAATCCAGAAATAATTGATTAAACCGAAATGAAAAAAATGAATGAATTGAATTGTAATGGTGAAATTGAAAGTCATGGTCAAGTGGTTTGTTTTTTTTTTTCGTGTGTGTGTGTGAATCAATCTGAATGAAAGTTTTTTTCCCCTACCACACACACACATTTATTGCTGATCGATTGATTAACAAGTTTGCATTCACTTTTTTTTCAATCATAATTAATGATTTGTTTTTTTTTGTTTTGTGTTCCACTTTTGCCAAAAAAAAAAAATTGAAACATTGCCCTTGCATGGATATTTTTTTTTTTTTTCGTTGATTCAATTTCAGAATTGATCAATGATTGGAATGAGCGAACAAAAAATCTCATTTTTTTCTCGCTCAAAATATATAGACAACTAACGATGATGATGATGACATTGGAATGGCAAATTCGTAAATGCCAATGGTTGAAATAAACAAATTTCAAATTGATTCATACATCATGTACACACACACACGCGTGCACACACACGTAATGAAAAACCAATTTGATTGAATAAGAAAAAACAAAAAAAAACATATCATTAAATAGAATCAAAAAAAAAGTTTCATTCCATTTTAGATTGATATTCAAAAAGAAAAACAGAACACGTCATCTCATTCAATCACTTTATTGCATTTTTCATTTTTCATTCAAGGGAAATGGAAACAAAAACAAAACAAAACAAAAAAAGAATGCACAAAAGAAAACGAAATCATCATCATCATCAACTACCGGCAATTGAATAGCCACATATATACAATATGGTCAAGTAAACACACAGAAAAGAAAACAATGAACAATTAACGGACATTTAGAAACGGAAATTGAGTCTAGCAATGTGAATGAAAAAAAAATTATATATCAAATTGATCAGATTCAGATCTCTCATTCTCTGTGAAAAATGTGAAACATTTCACCATTATTTAGTTTTTTGGAACAATTTGTTGGCAATAAAATATATAGATATTGCCATTGTGATACTGAATAATGTTTCTGTGTGTGTGTGTGTGTGTGTGTGTGAATAAAATTCAATTGAACTTGAACTTTTTTTTGTGCAGAAATAAAAAAAAATTTTTTTTTCTTTTTTGTATAATTTATTTCATTTCACAGTTTTTTTTCGAATGAAAAAAAATAGAGATGTGAAGATATAATATGCTTTTGTTGTTGTTGTTGTTGTTGGTCTTTTTTTTTTTTTTTTTTTTTTTTTTTGATTAGAAAATTTTCAAATTCAGGTTATCAACCATTGTTATGTGACGAATGTGTGACATTGATGATGATTGTGGCTTGAATGTTTTATTATAGCATCTTTTAGAATAGAATCGCGCTGGTATTTTGCACATTCATTTCAATTCAATTCAATTTTTTTTTTTTTTTTTTTTGAACAATAATCATCGTCATCACTGTGTTTTTTTTTGTGTGGTCAGACCTGCCCTCATCAGGTCGATTAATTGATTTTTTTTTCACATTTGCTTTCCATTTTTTATTTGATCAAATCAAATCAAATCAACCACCACCACCACCATCATCATGATGATGATGATCAACTACCGGCAATTGAATAGCCACATATATACAATATGGTCAAGTAAACACACAGAAAAGAAAACAATGAACAATTAACGGACATTTAGAAACGGAAATTGAGTCTAGCAATGTGAATGAAAAAAAAAAATTATATATCAAATTGATCAGATTCAGATCTCTTATTCTCTGTGAAAAATGTGAAACATTTCACCATTATTTAGTTTTTTGGAACAATTTGTTGGCAATAAAATATATAGATATTGCCATTGTGATACTGAATAATGTTCTGTGTGTGTGTGTGTGTGTGTGTGAATAAAATTCAATTGAACTTGAACTTTTTTTTTGTGCAGAAATAAAAAATTTTTTTTTTTTTTTGTATAATTTATTTCATTTCACAGGTTTTTTTTCGAATGAAAAAAAAAAAATAGAGATGTGAAGATATAATATGCTTTTGTTGTTGTTGTTGTTGGTCTTTTATTTTTTTTTTTTTTTTTTTTTTTTTGATTAGAAAAATTTTCAAATTCAGGTTATCAACCATTGTTGTGTTATGTGACGAATGTGTGACATTGATGATGATTGTGGCTTGAATGTTTTATTATAGCATCTTTTAGAATAGAATCGCGCTGGTATTTTGCACATTCATTTCAATTCAATTCAATTTTTTTTTTTTTTTTTTTGAACAATAATCATCGTCATCACTGTGTTTTTTTTTGTGTGGTCAGACCTGCCCTCATCAGGTCGATTAATTGATTTTTTTTCACATTTGCTTTCCATTTTTTATTTGATCAAATCAAATCAAATCAACCACCACCATCATCATGATGATGATGATGGTTTTGTATCTTGATATCACCATTTTCAGATAATCCATCTGGATTCGTTCTATCATCATCTACATAATCCATGCTTGTGCATCTTTATCAGATGTATACCACTAATGATGTATAACATGATTTGTAATTAAAAAAATGGAAATGGAAATGGAAATGGAAATGAAAACCAAACGAAAACCAGTTATTCATTCATTCATTTTTATTCATAAGTGAAAAAAAAGAAACCTGTCGATCAAAAAACTTGTTTACATTATTGTCAAATTCAGTTTATCATCATCATCATCATCATTATATCAATAGATTTATCATGTTTTCATGTGTGTGTGTGTGTGTGTGTAAGTTTTAATTAGATTTCTAATTCATTAAATTTTCATGACAAAAATTCATTTTCTAAATGAACAAGAAAAAGACAAAAAAAAAGTAGAACAACCTTGATGTAGTAGTAGTGTTCATGCACTACAACACACACACAGAGAGAGAGAGAGAGAGAGAGAGAGAGAGAGAGAGAGAGAGAGAGAGAGAGAGAGAGAGAGAGAGAGAGAGAGAGAAGAGAGAAAAGATTCCAGGTTTTTTTTTGCCTTCACACACACAATCACACACACACACAGCTGGCCTAATTCTACCTGTCATTCATTAGGTCGATGATTATGTATTGCCGGTGGCTGGTTGTCTGGTTGGTTTTTTTTTTTTTTTTGAACATCGCACTGTCGGTGTCTATTTGTGTATATATACACTAAAAACTAGCCATCATCATACTCATAATAATAATCTTATTAATGATGATGATGATTGTGAGCAACAAGTGAACACATAGTGGTGCATAGAAAGAGAGAACGATGAAATAAAAAAAAAAATTCCACAATGATAACTGTCACACACACACACACACACATTTGTAACATGTATATATTGTGACATACTTATACACTCCACTACCTAGTAATGGATTTAATAGGTAATTGATAAATTAGATAATGAAATAACAAAATGAAAATGATATAAATCTTTTTGTCCATTCCATTCAAACTGTTGTTGTTGTGTTCGGTGCAACAATTTGTTCATCAACAACAACAACAACAACAATGAACAAATTCGTTTGCACAGATTATATCGCCAAATGCGATTCTTTTTACAACAACAACAACAACAGAAAATGAAGGAAATCTACTTATAAAAAATGATTTATATCGCGCATTTTTTTTTTGTTTGGCTACAATGGTCCTTTATAATTATATATTTGATGATGATGATGTCATACACAAGAAACACACAGCAAAAAGTGTGGAAAAAAAATTTGAACTTTAAACGATGTTGGTGGTAAATGGTAATTATCAGCTATCATCATTCTCTCTCTCTCTCTCGATGGTTATTAGTAATATTGAAAATTTATTGGGTTTTTGATCTATTTTTTTTCTGTTGAAGTTATCCTGATAAATATGAGTTGTGAGTGACCATTTTTCTTTTTCTGGTAATGAATATCATTATTATTTATTGGTTGTTGGATAGTTTTTTGTTTGCTGGTAAATTGTTGATTTATTATTAATGGTCAACGATTTTTTCATCTTGTTCATCGTCCATCATATAAAGATTCGTGTACAATTTATTTTTTTTTAATTTTAATACCACACGTGGAAACGTTGTGTGAAAATTTTCAACAACATCGGGTGATGATTGATTTCTTTGTCTTAATTTTTCATATATCGCTAATTAATATTTTTTTTTCTTGATTAATCATCATAAGAAAAATAAAAATTCGTGATCATAATGAAAATTATAGCAAAATTCAATTCATTTTAATACGAAACGAATATCATGTGAATATTGTCAATGTAATAGAATGGTATATATAGCACAGATGAATGAAAGAATTTTCAACACCACCATCATGATCATCATGATCGTCATGATGATGATTTAAATCAGGTAAATTGATAAAAAATGCTATTATGACCATCACATCCAACTTACTGTGTGTGTGTGTGTTCAATTGTCAAATCGTGACTAAATCATGATTCATACATACACACACACAATTGGTTTTGAATTTAAACATGATGATCGTTTGATTCAGGTTGTTGTTGTTGTTGTTTTTTTATTTAAATCTTTTAATTTTTTTTTTTCTGTTTTGTTACCATTCAAGTATGATTAATGTCTGTGTGTGTGTGTGTGTGTGCATGCACTTGAATTAACTAAATGATATTCTCGATTTTGGAATCAATTTGGTGATTCTTTTTTTTTTTTGCCAATGGTGTATATGACCTAGATGTTGTTGTTGTTGTTGTTTTTACTTGCCTCTCACATGAAATATTCATTGATTTTTTTTTCTTTTACTTTTTTTTTATTTATAGCTATAATAATCAATGATGATGATGATAATGATCATCATCATACGATGAAACGATGTACAGCAAATGAATTTGAATGTATTCGTGATTCAACTTGTATTGATTTATCATCAGTTGGTGATGGAATAATTGATTGTATTGATTCATCAGATGAATGTCCTGATCCTATACAACAATTTCGTTGCCGTTGTGGTATACCAATATGTATTGATCGTAAACATTATATGGATGGACAAATTAATTGTGATGATGGTTCAGATGAAGGTTTAGAGGTTACCATTTGTCAAAGTTTCATACAAAATGAACTATTACCTAATGGTGAGTTTTAATTTTTAATTAATTAATTAATTAATTAATGTTTATATGTTTATAAACAACAACAAATCCTTTTTTTCCGCCTACTAATATGATGTTGGTTATTATCATTATTTGATTGTTTTCGTCTTTTTGTATATAATAATAATAAACGGATTTATATGTTGAAACCGTGACTATCTAATAATCCAACCAAAAACTAATCATTAACAAATCATAATCATAATGATGATTCTTGAACTAAAAATAATGACATATACATACATAGTGGTCATTTACTTGACCATTCAGTTTTTTTTCGTACAAATTATATCCATATTAATAATAATGGATGCACACGATAATGATAATAAATAACCACATCCAACTAATTGATTGATTGATTGAATGAATAAATAAATACGACACCTGGTCACATTGATTGAGGTTGAATATTTTTAACCCAAAAAAATACTTTTTTTCAAACTAATCATAAACCAAACCAAAAAAAAAAAACAAATAATTTGACCATCGACAACACTAACCCATTTATTCGGGCTTCAAATTCTATCCGTATGTTTGTCTTTTGGGAATGGGAAAGTGGAAAATTAACCTGAATTTTTTTTAAAAAATGAACCTACTACTACTACTACTACTAACCACTCATCTGTCATTGAATCCAACATCCGCTGAAAATTTTTAATCATTTTAAATCCATTCCGGTATAACTCAATATTGAATATTTTTATCGTTGATCCATAAAAATAGGAATGTTGACACGTCCACAACAACAACAACCACAGCAAAGGCCATATGATATGAATGTTCCATTCATGACCGTTATTGGTGAAGATAATGCTGATGATGATGGCGAAATCGATGATCATAATACAACAACAGCAGCAGCAGCAGAAGCAGCAACAAATGGAAATAAATACATGGCTGATGTTGATGTTGATGATCCAATTTTATTAATACCGGAAAATATTGAAGAACTTTTTTCATCTGAATTTTTTGATTCATTATCAACAACATCATCACCGTATATCGATGAAATAACAATGAATTCAACTACTACTAACAATGGTGATGATATTGTTTCTGAAAGCAATGATGATGATGATGATGATAAAGATAAAAACTTTTCATCATCATCATCATTATCATTAATGTCATCATCATCATCATCGCCATCATTATTGATCGATGAACAAATAATTACGCCCAATTCGTCCACTATCATCATGATAGATAATACGATTGAAACATCAACAACGAAACAATCAACAATGGCAACAACAACATCGACATCGACAAGTCATCAAGATGTAGTCGAACTAACTGGAACATTTTTACCATATGAATTGTTGACAGCTCCAACAAAATATCCATATTATCATCGATCAATGATTACACCTCCAATTCTATTAGAAAAATTGACTGAAACAAATTCAATTGTTGAAATAACTGGAACATTTATACCACAAATGATGACACAATCATATGATAGTGAAACTGGTCAACATCGACAACCGATGACCACCACCATTACTGCCAACAACAATACTATGATGAACGAATCAGTTAACAAGGAACGATGGAAATCAACGATGACAAAAATTGATGCTAATCATGCAGTCGAAACGGAAAAAATGGCTAGAATAAAAATCAAACAAGCAACAAATCAAACATTTATCATTGGCAATAAACGTTTGACAATTCTCACGGGAATCTTTTATGATCATCAAATGATGACATTGGTACAGCATTCATTGTAGCGTGTGGTGAAAATCGACTAGCCAGAATAGCAATGGATTATGATCGAATGATCTGTGATAATGTTCCTATCAAAATACGTAAAGAACGGCCACGACAATTTACTGATGATGGAAATCATCGACAATCATCAACAATAAATGGTACATTAACCATTAATTTAGCATCGGCTGGAAAATCATTGATCGTTATACCAGTGTTTACAACTGGTGGTGGTGGTGGTGGTGGTGGTAGTGGTGGTGCTAGCAGAAACAGTAATAATATAAAAATGGTTCATGCTGAAATTGAATTGAATTTTAATGATGACAATAATATGGTTGGTCGACCAATGAAAACAATCATTTTATCTGGATTAGGATGGAAGAATATTTCAAAAATTGAGGTCAATGCAGATAGAAAATATGTTCCATACATAGTGAAAGATTTACAGCCATCGATTGTTGATGTACGATTCGATATTAAAAAACAATTGTCAAATGTACAGATTATTGATAATGACAATCATCATTATCATCATCATCATTCATTCACATTACCATCATTGTCATCATCGTCTGCATTGATTGTACCAACTACGACGACGACGACGACGACGACAACGACAACATCATCCATTTCTAGTAATAATCATAACATAATGATGTCATCAAGAATTTTGTCCAAATTTTTAAATCGTCCACGAATGCATACTACAACAGTGGGACGTTTCAATGAACAAGATGATGTGGAAAAGAAATTCTTGTTGGATAATTATTTCAGTGGCAATATTCCTCAATATGATCCAACCATTGTGGAACCAACATCATCATCATCATCCGTTACGGTGAATCGAATTCGTGATACAAGCACCATTTTTGGTTTCATTGATTTTACCACCATTGTTAATGGTACAATGTTGATTTTTACGCCCAAAATCAAAGTCGATTCATCGGTGGATAAACATTCGACCATTAAACCAACTAAAGTTGCATTGTTCCATGATTATCTTCAAACATCATCATCATCATCACTTATTGGTAAATCCATTCCATCATATGATAATGGTAAAATAACTGTTTATGATGAGAAAATATCACCATCATCGATGACACCTGAATTTATTTCATCACGAAAGCTTGATAAATATAATGAATATTTAGTCACTAGTGATGGCATAACAATTACAAATGGATTCATATTGCCAAGTTTTTCATCACATGTGCCAAATTCATTGAAATCATCAACAATGACATTAGATACTTTCATTACTAGTCAATCATCACAAACGTTACCATTGAAATTGATTGCCACAACATTTACAACAAAACATACTGATTTTATAACTGAACAAATTGATGGCGGTAAAATACGTACACGAACATCGGAAATAATATCCACTAATGTTATTTATAATAAAAACAATGATGATGATGATGATGATAATGAACAATCGAATCGAATAAGGCCTACAAAACCAATGAAAACATTTTTCACTACATATACTTATTTTACTACATTTAAAAATTCTGAAACTGAATTTGTACATAGTCGTAAAGAGATTGTAACAAATATTGTCGATCCTTTTGATGAAGATTTAGCCATTATTGTACCAACATCATCAACATCATCATCATCAATCACGTCCACAAAGATGGTCACAAACATTTCCGAAATAAACAGTGATGCTGATGCTGATGATGATGATAATGGTGATCCAAATACATCTTCCGCCATCCATTTGATTGACACAAGACCTTTGTCTTCATTTTCATCATCATCATCATCATCATCAACGCCAACTACAATAAAAACAATGCCAACGACAATGAATGATGATGATGATGATGATAATGGCCAACAACAACAACAACAAATGAGTCCGACACCAAGTCTTCATTCTTTGAATTTGAATTCAAATAATAATAACAAGCCTACACCTTTGAATAAATCATATCTGGGAAAATTATTGTCCGGTATAGCCGTTCCAATCACACATTATACGACGTTTACATATTATACGACATTTTTCAAAGATTCAACATCACAAATTGTGTCCCGTACAAATGTCATATCAAACATTGTGACCGGAACAATAAATCTTAATCAGTCACCACCAATGCCATCATCATCATCATCATTAGTATCGATACATAAACGTTCAATCATTGAAGAGAAAGATTTTACAGCAGCAGCAGCCGAAAATTTACCAATTGTAATCACACCAGTTACTGAATTTTCAACATCAACATTATACACTACGTTTTTTGTACCCGGTCAAGGTTCAACGGTTGTAACAAATACACATATCTATTCAAATATCTATCTACCTGATGTTGAAGATTTAATTCATACAACCACCACATTACAACAACAAGTTCAACGTCCGATAAAAACGTTTCAAAATTATCCAGTTATAACAACAATCAATTATCATTCACCATCGACCGTAAACGATGAACGTATTCAAGAATCATCGACGACAATATTGAACCGTATTCAACAACAATCTAATGACGGTATTGTTCGACTAATCAATGGAATACCGGTGCTAGATGATCAAATTGTTTTAAATACAGATAATGCACACAATGAACGACAAAATACAGTGGTTCCATTTGTACCACAATCTGTCCGACAGCAACAACAACAATTATTATCATCATCATTGGCTCGTATCGAAATTGAAGGCTCAAATGATGATAACAATCACGATATTGGAACTTCTACCAATTCCATCAGACGTAAAGTTATAAAAGTGACCAAAACAAGAAAACTTATGGATACCTTGAATTTCAATATCAATAATAATGGTGATGATCGCCGTAAATCAACAGTGATTGTACGTAGGCCGCCATCTACATTGATTACATCAATTGGAGACAGTAATACAATATTAGTTGATGGTCATTATCATGATATAGACGGTATAGATCGTACTGGACGATTACATCCATCAATAACGCCAACGCCAGTGACATATTATACAACATATACATATTTCACTACCGAATTGATTGATGGTCGACCAATTGTTCGCTCTAATGAACATCTTTTCTCTACAGTTATTACTGGTAAAATCCTACCTACACGAGTTGTTCCGGATCAAAATCTACGCCGTATTCGTCGTACTGTGGATACATTGATTGATACTGTGGATAATCATCCAACTAAACAAAAGTCATCTAGTCTAAACAATCATCAATCTTCTTCTGTTATAGTCGAAGATGGTGATGATAATATTGTTGTCGTCGATGTTGATGAACAAAATAATCATCATCAACCGCCATTATCGACTTTGGAATCAAATCGAAAAATTGGTATCGTTTCCGAAATGACCAATCAGAATGGTGATCAAACTTTATTAACACAAATTATTGGCACTACAATCAATGGATTGTATGCTCAATTTGCCATCACTAAAACATTAGAATCACCTACATTGAATCCAATCACAATTCAATTGAATCAAACATCCGATAATGAATTGAATGATGTTGTTGATTATGAAATTACCGAATCTAATCACATGGATACAACGACAACCGAAATGTCCAATATTATTAGTGATGACGACGAAGAATCGATTACAACAGAATCCCCGATTGATATGAATAATCAAACTATGACAGAGATGTCTATAGATTCCGAAATGATGATGGTCGATGATTCGTGGTTAAGTGATGAAAATGTTCTAAGTGAATCGTCTTCACTCAGTTCATCGATCGATATTGAACCAACATTTTCATCACCGAGTGAAACACCAAAATTATCTTCATCGGTATTACCCAATAGCACCAAATCGGCGACCACCACCACCACCACCACCAATGACAAATCGACCATTGATTATCGTACCGGTTTGATATCATCATCAATCGAAACGTTGACCAATCTTGAACGACAAGAATTGATTCATTTAACAAAGGAAATTTTCGGTACGTATATTGGAGGTATATATGCACATTTGGCCAAAACACGATCCGAAACTATCACTTTACCACCACCACCATTACAAACACATCCTGTATCATCATCAATGATATTTCATACTATCTCTGCCTCTGCCAACTTGGCAACTACAACAACAACAACAACTGTACAAATGACACCATCAACCATAAGCCTGTTTTCCGGTTCTTTGGACCCTTTTTCATTGAATGCCACTATTACCGATGCTTCTATTTCCACTGCAATTGAAAGCACATCTTTTGATCCTGATTTGCACGTTAATAATATTGCTACCTCTTCCATGATTATTGATGATGCCGTATCCAAGATTATTATTTCCGATCCCAAAGAAACTATCATTTCCTCACCTACCTTTACAATTTCTTCCTCTTCTTCTTCTTCTTCTGTCTCTGTTGTTGTTGTTGATGATGATGATGATGATGAAAAACATTCGACCATTGATTTATGGCCATCATTACCTGGTTTATCATCCATTTCATATGCAACCGGAACAATCAATGATACAGTATTGGTAGTACACACAACAGAATTTTATACAACACAAATCAATGGTTTCACAGCACATTATTCTCGTGAAACATCCAATATGATTGGAACAATTGATCCAACAACTACCACAACAACAACTGTAACAAAACCATCGGTTCATTTTCCAACACCAGTTAGATTTTTATTTAGTTCATCATCACGTTCATCAATTCCAATGCCTGCACAAGTTATTACCACTGTTGTTACAGTAACCACAACTCTTTTCGATGAATCTAGTGGTTATTCATCATCACAATCACAATCACAATCATCAGGATTAATTCAAAGTGAATCCAATTCATGGTTAGCATCTAGAAAATTTAAACCAATCTATAATAATCAAGATTATGATGATGGTGATGGAGATTCATCACCATACATGCTGTCCAGTTCATCATCCGGACAAATGCCAAGAAGTCGAACTATTCGTGAAAAAGATAATGCACAACCACTCTTTGATTATGGTGATTCTGATGATGATGTGGATTATATTGATCAGATTGATACTCCGGCTAGATTAGACTCATCATCATCATTGACGACGACAACTACAACCACCACCACCACCACCACATCTTCACCAAGAACAGCCAATAGAAATTTATATTGGCAACCACGTCGTAATCCAACCACTGGATTTGGTCAACGTGTAGGATACAATGAACCGGATACAAATTGGTCATCGAATACACGAGCAGTTATCAATAATAATAATAATAATCGTGTTGTAACACCTCGTCGTAGAACACAACAACAATCAATTTCGAGATCAACTGCTTCTTCACCTGTTTCGACAAGTGCAACACGTTCATTAGAATTTTATCATTACAATGATTATAATCCAAATATTTCGGATCGAACAAATCAAAGAACAAATTCGAATGATTCGAATTCTCGTCATAAACAGTCTCAACATTTGGATCGAAATAGGAGTTTGAATCGAAATCGTGGCAGTCTAAATCGTGGCCGTTCATATTATACACAATTGACTACAACTACGACAACCACTCCTGCTCCTAGGAACATAAATCTACTTCCAAATCAACGACTTCGTTTGAATCGTAAATATAGCCGAAATCGTTTACCTCATCTAAAGAATTTGAATCGTGATACACAACAACATTCTTTGTCTACATATCAACGATCAACACAATCGGATCCAATGGATCAACAGCGGAAATTTGGCCGTGGAAATCGCCGTTCACGATTACATCAGCCAAGTTTACAGCAACCAATAGTGGCCAGCACTATTTATGCAACGGAAACCATACCAAAAGTTCCGATAACTGTCACATCGATTGCTACTACAGTGAAAACTGTACCAATTTTTCATGGTTTTCGTACTTCATATGCAACATTAACAACAACAACATTGAATACAAGCATCATTCCACATACATCATATGAAACAAGTGTAGATGATGATGGAACAACACGAACATTGTATACACGAATGACTGATCAATTGGAACCGCATAAAATTACCGAAATTCTTGTAACCACAAGTGCATTACAAGAAGTTAAATTAATACCAATCAAATTTGGTTATAGTACAAGAACCGAAACATTGACGGATGTGAAAACATTTACAATGTTAACCACGGTCATTTCTACCGATTCATTAGCATTGTTAACACAATTATTACCACCACCACCTGGTAGTACATTATTGACTACCACTTATGTTACTGACCATACACTTTCATCCACTACCTCAGTATCGTTATTATTACATGGAAAAACATTAGTTAGTACATTGACATTCACATCGGTTGCCGAAACAACCGTTACGAAAACATTGACCGTTCCAATAACAAATACAGATCATCATCATCATCATCATAATAATCCTTCACCATTAGTAACAATGTTAACACTTTCGATACGTGGCGAAAATGGTGATATTACTGAATTGATCACCGCTATTACTGTTCCATTACAGCAGCCACAATTACAATCATCGACCATTATGGCTACAAAAGTTGAACGTGATATACGATCAACTTTAAATCGATTAGATAATTACAATGAAAGAATGTTCGATGATGATGATGATAATGATGGATTGGATTATTTAGGACCAGTTCTATTAGAAAGTTCTACTGGATTCGGACAACAACAACAACAACAACATAGACAACAACAACAACAACAGAGCCAAACAAAATTAAAAAACAAAAATAATAATCATCATCAATTTATTTCCACTTCCTTTATGACTGTTGATTCAAAATTACAATCACAAGACACCAATTCTCATCCTTATTTTATTACCACAATTTTTAAAGGTCCCAATACGGAAATCTATGAAGCAAATGTATTGCCCATTGATATGGATAATCAGGATGAATCACCAACGGCAACGTTTCGAAAACGTAGACTATTACAATATAGTGATAATATCTATAAAGAATTATCCGGTGGTACATCATCCAATTCATTCACATCGGAACGTAGTAAACCAAATCGAAAATTTCAACGTGTTCGAATTAAATCAAAAGCAGCCTCTTCTTTGAATCATGTATCTGGATCATCATTGACTGAATTTAATCGATTGGTAGGTATTCAGGATAAACAATCACCACCATCATCATCATCATCATCACCGCACATCAATTATGGTCCAGAATCATTCAATTCATTTCGGCGACAACCAGTTCAACTTGATCAACCATTCAATATGTATAGTAGTGTGGTTGTATCGATTCCACCGATTAGTTCGACAGCATCATATTTATTGGCCAATAATTTTCAGAAACCAACTTATCGCAAAATTAAACCACAACAAAGTCGTCGAATTGTGTCCAGTATTAGACAGGTAAATCCAACAGTTGCTGCTGCTAATCCATTACATCAGGCCATACAACCGAGTCATGTATTATCATCAAATCTTATGATTGCTTCATCCACTTTGCCATCGTTTATTGAAATTCCTAATCAATTTAATCATAATAATAATAATAATCATCACCATCACCATCATCATCATCATTATCCACGATTACCATCAAGTCCAACGCTTCCAATTCAACCGGATCCACGACATGTTATTCAACATATCAATCATGCTATATTACCACATAAAAATCGTAATAATCCAGTCAATCAATTCAATGTTCATAATGTTATGGATGACCAGGCAATTGCACTGCCATATGATACTGGTTCCAATTATCCACCACCTTCTAATGGTGATTTGGATATATCAAGATCAATGGTTCATGGATCATCATCTTCAACAGAGCAATATTCACCATCATCTGTTCAACAACATGAATCATCATCATCATCAGCGATTCATACGCCTACAATTCCATTAACTTATTATACAACGTTTACATATTTAACAACCGTTATTCGTGGTCAACATACAGCTCATTTAAGTCGTGAAAGTGTCACTTCGGCCATCACAACACGAGCATTGGATAAAAGTATTGTGGAAATTGTTCGCGATTCTGATGGTGTTATAGAACCGACAAGATTACAAGAATTGGGCACCAAAACCAAAGGTCTGGCCACAACAATTTACAATGCTTTATATCAGGTTCAGATCTATAATGATGATCTTTATAAAGTAATACAAAAAACATATAATAAACAAGTTTCATTTAAACCTTGGCAACCAAGCACCACTTCTTATCATCCTGTTTTTGTTACAAATCATCTGGATGTGCCGAAAGAAACGCCATCTATTATGGAATCATCATCGGTTGATCATCATCATAATGAATTTGATATCATTCGTACAACTAAAGTGGATGAATCTTCGTATCCACTCACCACTGTTGATACACCATTGTTGTCGTCTTCGATTTTGGAACCATCATATCAACCGGTGGAGAATACAGCCGAACCGACACCAACCATTGATTCAACGCTTTTCTCTTCACCAACATTGATACGATCTTCAGTACGAATAAGTTCAAGTGTTGTTCGAAAACCATATAATCCACGTTATACTCATCCAATGTCAAGAAGTCGACTTCGTATGCGTGTCAGTTCACGAACATCACATTTACCCGTTGTTATTGAATCATCCATTTCCGATTCGTTTATCACTTCATCACCAACTTTGGATGATGATTTGTTTTCTTCATCATCGATTTTGGATTCACTTAACGATGCCATTAGCTCATCACGAGCTGCGTCAACACCAACTACAAACGTTTTGAATCGCCCGAATTTATTCCGATCCAAAGTAATTTTCCGTCCACGACCAGGACAAACTGGACACCAACCATTGAATAGTAAAATAATGCGTATCAGTAGCCGATTAGTTCGTCCAGGTACCACATCATCATCATCATCATCATCAGAGTCATCATATGAAATTTCAAGTCCAACACCGACAATGATAATACCATCAGCTACATTATTACAAACTTCTAGTGGCTATTACACTGGAAATGAATCTGGAAACGATAAAATGGATCATTCGGATGCTGCTCGTGCAAATAAATTTGTTCGTGTTTCGAATGGTGTCACATTAATCATTTCAAGTCGTATGCCAACACCAACACGGCCATATACATTCGAACCAACATTGGTGACCGGTGGTGCTGTATTGATGAAAAATATCATTCCAGAACAATATCATCATCCAGATCAACATGGTTCTTCGTCTTCATCAAATTCCATAGAATCAATCGAACCAACTATGACCACAGAAACGGTGAAATATTTACGTACAAGTACATTGCTCTCTACAATGACTTATTTTGCCACACTATTCAATGGTTCAACTTCATCGATTACACCGATTGAAGATGTGAAAACTGAATTCATTACATTCCCAGATACGACAACAGTAACAAGATCAGTGGATAGATCAAATATTTTTATTGATGGTTCAATCACATCGATACCGTCTAGCCAGATATTGTTCAATCCTACTGATTATATAACATCAGCTCCAAGATTGTCATCAACAGCATATAGGCCAACATATTTGACTAGTTTGAAAAGTACATACACAACATTGACTCATTATATAACATTATTTCATGGTTCACATACCGTACTGTCTTCGATTGAAGAAATAAGTCCAACAATTGTTACCGAAACATTTGGTGTACAACAGACAAAACCAACACACGGTGATCACATCATGTCATCATCATCAATCAATGTTGAACATCATCATCATCATCATCATCATCATAATCATCATATGCCAAACATTCGTTTCACACAACCATCGATTGATGTGGCAAAACAATCAAAAAATCTTTTTGGTGGATTAGTACCAAGCGTTTCGACATTATTCACTACTCATACCTATTATACAACATTATTCAGTGGTACAACATCAATCATTCAAAGTCGTGAAGAAATAACACATTCATTGATAACAATGTATGTTCCTAGTAGTCAAATGACACAGCAGCCATCTATGCAAATAGCGACAACAACAACAACAACTGGTTCAAGCTCGTCAACAGAATTACCATCGTTCAATAATTATGATGACTTATGGCAATCAATTAGTGATAGTAGTAGTAGTAGTAGCAGTAATCAACAAACACCGCCATTAATGAATACAGCAACATCTATTTATTCGGATTATGTTCCAGAAGATCAAATTATTGTCGGAAGTGGTTCAATTCAAGTGGAACCAAGTATGACGGATAATTCTGACATTTTATCATCTACATTAAAGGATACATCAGATGCAGTTGTTTATTTTACTAATTTTATATTGCCATCCAATGTTGTCGAATCGGACAATACAATCGATGGTGCAAAAGGACCAATTAATCCACTTTTGAATCATGGTGATCTAACATTGATTGCTGATCACAATAATAATAAACCATCGGATATGGCAGTGCCGATTCTGAATCCAATAATGCCAACACAACAGATGCATCCAGCCATCGTTGATTCAATGCAAACACAATCACCAGCTATTAAACCTGGTGCTATAATCGAATTGACTGATCTTTTGGATGGTGCTAATCTTGCCGGTAATATTGGCGAAGCAATCAAAGATATTGTACAAATATTGGCCAAAGGACAGAAAAATAAAATACCAAACAATCCAACATCGGTCAGGGATAATGCAGCATTTGATATTGATCGAACATCAGTCATCAAAGATATGATAATGCCACCTAAAGATGGTGCTACTGTTAGCCATATGGATGACCCGGTTTATATTCCAATTAATCGTCCCGAATTATTCACATCGCCAACAGTATCTTTTCCATCATCATCGCTTTTTGAACGAACATCTTCAATATATTTCATGGAAAATATGCCACCTGTAGCTTATGTTCCAGTGGAATTGCCCGAATCATCACCCACATCATCAATTCATGATATTCAAGCAATCATACCAAAATTATCTGTAGATGATGGACTGTTGACATCATCCATTTTGGTTAAACCTTCATTTACAGTTCCCGTCTATGAATCATCATCATCATCACAAGTACGAGAATCCTATTTATTCCCATCAAAATCACCAATATTTAGTACAGCTGGAAATGCTCCCTCAACATCAATTGGTATTGCTGATAATAATGTGCCTCCGATGATTCATCCTACTGAAACCAAATATATAACTAGTGTTGAATCTTCACCATCTACTATTGTGATGACTACGACAAAGGTTTGTAAAATCAATTATCGTATCATTGTTTTTGACAATTGTAAAATTTTTCCAGGTTTATTACACAAGAGATTCACCATTAACAATCACATCTTCATACACAACGACAATGCCACTTAGAACTGTTGTCACAACTATTGTTGGCTCAAAAACTATTCTAAATACGTATAGTACCGAAATTAAACCAACAAAATCCACTTTTATTCCACAAAGTACGATCACAGGAGATTCAAACACAAGAATTCGAATGCAACCACAAGGTGCATCGACAAGTGGTGGCGAACAACGATCATCACCGTTCCGTCCAACACGTAAACCTGGTATTAATCGATTCAAGCCACCATCGAGAGCAACTGAACCACCAAAAATATTCAAAACAAGTCATCGTCCTAGACAGCCATACAAACCATCGCCAACACCACCACCAACTGATTTTGATTCTGATCAACAACGACCATCAGGAGGATCGGCAACGAAAAAGACTACGAAATTTTCATATCCAAAAACTACGACTCGACCATCGATTCTTGATCTTGATCAATGTAAACCTGGTTGTAATGCTGCTAACAAAGAAATATGTAAAGAATTTGATGGCAAATTTAAATGTGATTGTCGTCCAGGTTATGTTAAAAAACCAATGGGCAATGATGTTTGTTTTGGTATGTCATTTAGATGATTACTATGGTTTCATTTTAAATTTATTTTTTTTTATTTTCCAGAATTGCAAAATTTTATCGTATTGGTTCGTGTCACTAGATTAGGTGACCACGAATTAGAATGGAATAGCATCCTAATGAATCATACATCAGATTTATATCAGAATCTTGCCAAAGCAGCTCGAAATCAGATTGATTCTGCTTACATAATGATCAGTAGTATGAAAGAGAATTATATTGGTGCCGATGTTTTGGACATTAATCAAGCACAAGATGGACATGGTGTTCTCGTCAATATGACCATTCATTTAACTGAATCAAATAATATTGATGAAGATTTGATTCGTGAAGAATTGTCGCGAACATTGATGATGAAACCTCCTCAATCATTACAACCATCATCATCATCATCATCATCATCATCCTCTTCTGAACAATTACCAAGTCCACAACAGATCTATGCTGATCTAGAAGATGTTGTTGATTTCGATGAATGTAGTTCAGAAGAATATAATGATTGTGCAAGTTCTGCACGTTGTATTAATGAACCAGGCTCATATCGTTGTGAATGTCTTAATGGTTATCCAGATTTAGATCTTTCATTCCCCGGTCGAATGTGTGCATCGGAAATTAAAGCTTGTGAATTCTGTTATGGCCGTGGTGATTGTTATCGTGATGAAACTGGACAAATTAGCTCTTGTAAATGTCATCGAATGTATTTGGGACGTCGTTGTGAGATTAATGGTCTATGTAAGAATGCACATTTTTATGACAATTGTATTTACTAATGTAATTACATTTTATATCAAATAGTGTTGGCTATATTCATTCCAGTAATTGCCATTCTAAGCATCATTACAATCTGTTCAATTGTTTATTGTTGTCGAAAATGGCGTAATCGTGCATTGGTTAAAGGATTCCGTAATTTTAGTGCTTATGGTCCTAACATGATTGGTTCTACATTGGATCGTAAAGCAATGTTGGAAACTTCAAGTGATAATAGTGATCCATTACGATCACACATTTCATATGATGGTCCAGGAATAACTAATGTATGTTTTTTTTTGGTTGACGATGAATATCATTTATTTTAATTGCAAATGTTTCATTACATTAGACTGATGCAACTTTATCAAGAGAATATCGACGTCGCCGTGAAAGTGAACATCCACAACAACAGTTGTCTTCACATCATCATCATCATCATCCTCATGATCATCATCAATATAATGGTGGTGATATGATTGGTGCTTCATATCCAAATATCGGTACCAGTTCAATACCATATAATTTTAGTACACAATTCATGATACCTAGAGTTAGAAATGCAAGTTCAACAAGTTTACAAACATATGGTAATAATGGCTATAATAATAATAATCATGGTGGCCGTAACCATAGACATCATTATAATAATCATCATCATGGTCAGAATAATAATAGTCATGGACATTCACATAGTCATCATCATAATCATCATCATCATCATACATCATCTGGTTATGATTATGATGGCAGTGGCGGTAGCGGTGCAAGTTCCGGTAATCATCGTTCACATCAATATGCTGCTTGGTGAAAAAAAAAATCAGACACATCTTTGATGATCATTCCAGTGACAATAATGATAAATTCCAAGTATAATCTATTAATCAAATTGAGTACATCGGTACTAATTCTGTGTGTGTGTGTGTGTGTGTGTTTGATTGATTTTTTCCATTTTTCACTTGCTGTCAACTGAATTTGTTAATTAATGCCAATATTTTTTTCCCTTGTTTTTTTTTAATTTCATTCTCTCAACGAATCAACGAGAATGTCAATGATTAGAATCACACACACACACACACACACACACACAGAATATAACTGTGTATGTACCACCACCAGTAAGTAACCAGTGAATAGGATTTACGTATTTTTGTTTCATTTCGCGTTAATTGTTTTTTTTCTATTTCATAATGTTTATTTTTTCCCCCCATTTCTTGATCATTCTCTGTCTTATTTTGTTTTATTCAATTTGATGATCAAGTTTTTTTTCTGTTTACTATGCTTTACATGTTTAGCTCATTTTTTATCTTTTTTTTTGTCCACTGCCTATTAATTTTGATGATGATTTGTATTTGTGATTGGATCAGCAAAAATTCCCAATTCAATTGAATTTATGTAATGTGTGTGTGTGTGTGTGTGTTTGATTTTTTTCTGTATTATATTCATTTGAACAAAACTAACAACACACACACAACACAACTCTTTTTCAGATATTTGAAATCCAAACACATTGAATGATGATGAAAACACACGCCTTTTTGTTTTTTTTTTTGTTTGTTTGTTTGTTCGTTTTGTTTGTTTGTTTTCGAGTTGAAACACTAAATTATTGATTGTTTTTTTTGTCATTCTTTTTTATATAAAAAACACGAAAATCTGTCAATGATTATGTCATTTATACATATTCTTATTTAATCAAACCTGAGCCCGTTATCTATATATTTTTTTTTTTTCTCTCTCTCTCTCATCACTATATCCACCATATATATTGATATCATTATCATCATCATCATCATTTTTTTGCCCTTTTATATTCTTTTTCCATTGTAACATTTAACATGTCATTTTTATTATCACTTGAACAATAAAGGAGACATTCAATTTCATTTTCATTATAATTATCGTTAATTGAACGGAAATTGATGAACACCACTTGGGATTTGTTTTTTATTTTGTCATCAGATTTCATATAAGATCCATGAAATGATGATGATGATGATCATGACCATATATATTCTAATTGAACCATTGTGTCATGACTACTAATGGCCTACTAATAGCATTTTGTTTGTTTGTTTGTTTGGAGTGATGAATGATTTTCATCTGAAATTTGATTTCACTTTTTTTTTTTTTAGATAAAATCATCAATCAAAAACAGTGATCAGCAGATTTATTTATTCATTATAATTGATTAATATATTGTCTTGTTTAGCAGCAGAAATAAAATTAGTTTATTATTATCGATCGATTCGTACAGAATTTTTGTTGTCATTGTGATGATGATGATGATGATGATTCATTTATGTTTGTTCAATGTGTCACAATTTATGGAGTGGAAAAAAAAGAGAAGAGAAACAAAACAAAAAAAAAATTGAATCAATTACAATGATATTTGACAAATGTTTTTTTTTTTTTTTGAATACTATTCAATAATAAATTCACTGAATGAATGAAAATGATCAGAATGTGTTTATATAATGGTCGTCGTTGGGGTAATATAATCATATCAGATCAGATCAGATTTATTACAACAACGAAAATCTTCAGATTCAAACATTTTTATTGATGAAAAAATAACTGGAGAAAGATAGATTTGTCCTTTCCCCTTCAAACATAAAAGTGTGTGTATGTGTGTGTGTGTGTGTGTGTGTGTGCACTAATATCAATGATAAACACGCGTGTTGTCTCAGTGGTAATGATTTTAAAAAAACGAAACAAATCAACATATAGAATGGTTAAAAGTTTTTCTCTTGCAATATTAATAACTGGACTTTTTTTTATCCATTAGGATGATTTGGGATGGAGTGGTTGTTGTTTGATATATATAATCCTTATTGATCTTGTTGATTTATTGGACAAATCAACGATGCAGGCTGATTAACGGGTGGTTCAAAGTCTAACATTGGTTCATAACCGAATTCAATTTGATTATCGTATTGACCACTGGATACTAGACGTACTGCTGTATTTGTACACATTACAGTGAAACGTTTTTTATCTAAGAAAAATTTTGGAAAAACAAATTTTTTCAATTTGCCAAAAAAAAACCCAGACAAATATTTAATACTTACGTGGAAATGGTCGAAAACCACAAACATCATCACCGACTTGCATTAATTGTGTATCCAAACCTTGACCGCCACGAAATTCTACATAATCATTCATGCCTCTTTTTTTGCACTGTAAGAAAAAATGCAGAACAGAACAGAACAAATCGTTATTTGAAACACTAAAGCAAAAAAACACCCGGTTACCTTTTTAATGACACCAGTTTCTATAGCATAACTTCTTGGTGAATGAATTATACTGTCCAATCGACGATAACTTTGGCCAACATTCATCGATAATATACGAAATGAAGCGCTAAACAGTATGGACATTGTACAATTAATACGGCGACCATAATTTCGTAATGTATAGATTCCATAATTAACGCCTTGTATTATTGTATTGCATGCTAATTGATAAATTATGAAAAAATTAAATTAAATTTTCTTTCCTTTCCATTTCTTATTCCAGTTATTGCATACACTCACGTTTTGGATTGTCAATAAATCTAATACGAACAGTAAAACCTTGACCAATGGTCGGTATACGATATTCAATTAGGCCAACATTTTGTGACATACGAAAAATTTTTTTCGGTTTTATATGGCCACAAAATTCATGATAACGTGCATCCCTTGGTATTGGATGATCTTCAACACTAGGAAAAAATTGTCCCATCAATTCCCATCCATCTACTACGCTTAATAATCCATTCTTATGACAGCTAACATTGAATTGTATGAATTCTATTTCAACCAATTGTGTTGGACTGGCCATCAGATATAGGCCACAGACTAGATTGCTTTCATCTTCCGATATTAATGTATAGATGCCATCTTCGGTTTTCACGAATATACATTCTTTGGTTGTGAATAGAAAAAAAAGAAACGAAAAATGCAATTATAAAAAAAATTATCAAATATCAATTCGATTCATTTTTATTTTTAGATTCATCAATGAATTTCTGAAATGAAATTCTGTAATCGAATATCAAAATAGAATCATTTTTGTCAACTATTCCAAGTAAGTAAATTTTTTTTCTCATTTTATTTATTTATTTATATTTTTATATTTGATTTGATTACCTTTGGGATTTAATCGTACAATATTTTCAGTTATGTTTTCATTGGCCAACATCATCATGTTATTCATGAATGATGATGATGACGCCAATTTTAATGTTGGCGCTGATGATGATGATGATGATGAAAACGACGATGGCAATATTGTATCAGTATTTCGTAGTAATTCATTTTCTTTTGTTGTTGGTACGATGACACCATTTTCATTTTGTATGTATGATGATGATTGTGGCGATAGTAGTGGTGGTAATGCTGATGATGATGATGATAATGATAATGGTGGTGGCAATATCTGTTTTCTATTATTTGTACTGTCATCATCATCATCATGATCGATCTATAGACAAAATAATAATAATAAAAAATTCATATGATGAATTATTACAAATTGAACTCCAATTCAATTCTAATAATCAATATATAATCGATATAATATTGACAGCATTGAACCAGAATTGGCTTTCATGTACACACACACACATTTTTTTTTTGTCAATCCCTATTTTGTCATTATGTTTCGGGTCAATTGATGATGATGATGATGTTTGGTTGATCAATTCAATTTGAACAATCGATCGATAATTTTCATTTTCATTCAACAATAAATCAAATTGTAATGTTTATTTTTATGTTAATGTTCATCCAACCGAAATATTAATACCATGATGTTCAAATGACACAATTTAGAATTTCGTTTCAGAAAATAAATTTTGTTTGATGATGAACATGAATGAAAATGAATGACAATGAAACAACAAACATCATCATCATCATTGGAACCCATTGAGAGAAAAAACAAAATTGGGCCAAACCGATTAATCATCATCGTTTTTTTTTTTTGAAATTGATTTCTTGATGTGTCGCGTCTGTATTGATGATTTTTTTTTCTTCGCCTCTCTAATGTCTATTGATGTTTGTTTGTTTTTGTGTGTGTGTGTGTGTGTGTGTGTGTGTGTGTGTTCCAGTTTTTTTTTAAATTGAATTTTTTTTTCTATCTATCTCACTACTTACCAATTCATTCAATTCTTCGATATCGATAACAGGATTTGTATGAATAATCTGGATTTGATTGAATAACATCAAACATAATATAATAATGTTGATGATGAATAATCGATAATCACTTGATGATGATGATGATGATGACATGGTCATTTTTTCTGGTCTGAATTTCATGATTTCGTTGTTGTTGTTGTTGTTGTTGTCGTTTTTTTCCGGAAAAAAATTTTGAGGTATAAATGAGATGATGATAATTTTTCTTTATTACTGGAATGAATGAATGACAATTTTCGGAAAACAAAATGAATATTAATATTCGCAAATAATCTTGATTCGTTTTAACAAATTAAGTACAATTTATCGACATTTTTTTTTCAATTATTTTCAATAAATTCAAACACTGAACGAATGATTGGAATATTTTTTTTTTTTTGAATTCTTAAACACACACACACACACACACATCACATCGCATTACTGGTGTTAATTTTTATTTTTTCCTATATTGGGAGTAATCGATCGCGTGATGATGTGATTCTGTTGTAAGAGAATTTTTTGACTGAAAACACTGAAAATCTCTCTCTCTCTCTCTCTCTGAGAGAAATTCTTTCTTTTTTTTGATCTGATTCTTATAAATTATGAAAGTTGATGTTGTCGTTGTTGTTGTTGTTGTTGTTGTTGTTGAATAATCCAACAACGTAGCATATGCAATAACACGAAATAAAAGTAACGGGTATTTGCGTTAGGCAATCATTTTAGGTATGCGGTTCATGAAATGTTTGGAATGTAATATAACACGTTGATATCACATCACATCATATTTACATGAAACAAAACAAAACATAAATCGATTGAAATCATTAGATTAATGATGCTAACAATATGATGATGATCATCTTTCGGATATCCGGAAAATGGTTAATAAATTTGATTGGTTGTTGTTGTTGTTGTATTATGGGATTAGTATTATCCAGTTTAATCCAAAATGATTGAATTTATTTGAAGGAAAAATTCAAAACAACAACAACAACAACAACAACAACAAGAACAACTGGTTGACTAGTTACTTCAAGTCCATCACTTTAAATAGTTTCATTTTGTTTGCCTTCGTCACTTTTCTTCAATGAAAAGATCTTTACTTTCTTATTTTTTTTTTTATTTGTCGTCGTAGTCGTCGTCGTCGTCGTCGTCGTCGTCGTCGTAGTCGTCGGCCTCATTGGTTATTACATAATTTTGTTTTCTTTCATTTGGCGCATGTGGTGATATATGTATGGACATAAGATGTTTTTTTCCCATTTCATTCTGTTTTGTTTTTTTTTATTTTGGCCAATCCAAATAATCTGATAATATTCTTTTTGTTCCGTCAGCCATTTCAGGTTCATTTAATAATTGATAATCATTTCACTTTTAAATCAGATCAACAAATCCACAAATAAAAATAAACTATAATGATGATGATGATAACCTTGAACAAATAAAAAAAATCAGATTTTTCTTTAGTAAAAATAATCTTGTTTTCGATTTCGATGATGAATGTTTATTTTCAGAAAAAAAATAAATAAATTGTCTCATTGAACAAACAAGACATGATTACCGTTCATCATTCTGATCTATTTCACCGTTTATGGACCCGATTATTGGATTGCCAATGAAGAAAAAAAACACCATTGAATCCGGTTCTGGCCGGTTTTTTTGGGATTTTTTCTTTACGTTTTTTTCAAAAATAAACAAAAAATTTATTTATTTGCATTATTCATAACCATGTATACATATTTTGATGAATAACTCAAAACACTTACGTTTTATATCACTACATGTTTACTTTCATTTCAACTAAATTCAATTAGCAACAGCTTCGAATCGATTAGAAATGTATGTGAATGGGAAACCCATATGTTGTTTAGTCATTATTTTTATGTGTGCGAAACAAAAACAAAAACAAAAAAACAAAAAACAAAAAATGATACCATGTTGACGAAAATTTTTTCTATCTAAATTACCTGAATATATAAAAGTAGGCCTATAAAATTTTTCTCCCATTTATCTGTTTGTGTTTGGGTACCGCAACCAAACAAAAAAAAACGAAAATTTTGTTTTGACATTTTGACTTTGTTTTAAAAAAAAAAAAAAATAAATTCGTCATTCGACTTAATTTCTTTTTTTTTTTTGTTTTTTTCGCCATTAGAAAAGACGTAATTCTTTGAATTAAAAAAAAATGAAAATCTAGCCAACAACCATGCCAAAATTGGAATCGATCGATTATCGATATATTACAGTTAATTATTGGCTAAAATATCTATTTTTGTTACACACAGGCTTACGTACCATAGGTACACATATAGCAACTTTGTTTTTACTAAGTGTCAACATTTTTACATGTGTGTGTGTGTTGTATGGAAGAAATCTGAATATGAGAATATGAAACAAACTTTATTTTTCAAAGTCGCGTGCACGACATTTATATTCATTCATTCAATCATCATCATCATCATTTTTTTTTCTTCTCCTGTCAAAACCTTTTGCGGAATTTACCGGAATTGGTAATTTCTTGTTTTTTTTTCATTCGAAAGAAAAACAAAACAACAACAACAACAACAAAAACCGAGTTATTCCATGAATAACAATTTCTCAATGATAAAATTTTTTTTTTTTGTAAAATATCTGTATGCTAAGAATATCTTTTTCGTTGAACTTTACTTTGTACACAAACACACACACACACACACACACACACAAAAAAAATTCCTTAATTCTTGATTCATTGATGTCATTGAGAAAATCTATGATTTCTTCTTCACATTGTAATAATCATATGATGATGTGTATGATTTATTATCCATTTTTTTGTTTGTTTGTTTGTTCTATTCACTGATGTGTAATTCTTACATAAGGTTGAATCCGCACACACACACACACACATACCCGGGCATAAGTGCATAACCGGAACAGGAAGAGAATTTATTTATTTGAACTGAAATGAACTTAAACAGATATAGACGAAAAAAGAAAAAAAAATATTTATGTCGATCAATTGTCCATTATCGATAATAAATCATCATCATCATCATCATCATCATTCACACTCATCGACACTGTTCTTGATGAAAAGTCATCGATGAACAAATTGTTGATGATTGAATGTATATAACATTTATGTCGATGACGTCTATGCCATACAGTTCACCGGTAACAGTAAATAAATTTCCCATGATATAACCTTATTATTATTGCCATGAATATACATATCTTAATAATCAAGGACAAATTCACAGTCAATTATTGTTTGTGTTTGTTTCTCTCTCTCACAAAAAAACACATTCCTAAATGATTTATACAAATTTTTTTCTTCTTAATTCCAACTAAATTCCATGTTATTAATGTGGTCATTATGATGATGATAAAATAATCCTTTCACACACACACACACACACACAAATTGGAATGTTATTCAAATCCCTCGAAGCAAAGACGGTCATATATCGATTTTTTTTCACTTTTTTTTTCATTCCATCTCCTTGTATGTTATAATTGGGAATTTCCAAATTAAAAAAAAAACCAATCATTCACTTGCACCTTTTTCGGTGTGCGTGTCTCTCTGTGTGTGTGTGTGTGTCTATATTATTAACAAACATACATTATCCAAAAAAAAAAAAGAAACAAATGTCATCAATGAACGCAAAATTGACAGCCACAAATATGATAAAAAAAAATGTAAAAATGTTTGGACAATTTCTTATGATGATAATTTATGAAATGTTTTGCGTTGTCAAAACAAAAAATACCCGAATTTTTCTATTTGTCCTGTGTATGTTTGATGATGAACGTCATGCAATGATAACTCAAAAAAAAGTCATTTTTTTTCTCTTTTTTATAATTGAAAAATTTATCCACCAAAAATGCCTAGCGTGATGTTTTTTTTCAATTCGAAATATAATGATAATAGTACCGGAAATAGCTACAAAATAATGAAAAAAAAAATTTCGCAAAAATTCACTTTTTCTTATCTGTTGCACTGTGTGTGTGTGTGTGTGTTGTTGACCATTTTCTCGAATGGTTTGTTCAAATAAAGGCTTTTTTTAATAACTATTCTTTATTAAAATGGTCATTAAGATATTTTCGACCCTCTTTGTCAACAATTCAACAACAACAACAACAACAACAACAGCAACAACAACAGCAAGATTTTTCGGTAATTTTCTAGGAATAAAAAAAAAATTCGATTCCAAAACCTGGACTGGAAGAAAATGTACCCAATTATCGTATTTGTTTTTTTTTCAATATTTTTATTCAGCCATGTTGTAGTTGCTCAAAAGGAAACAAACAATTCTGTTATTTAATTATTGTTTGAAGTTTGTATAAATACCGATTCATTTACAATTTTTAATTATTATTAAAGTTGTATGAGTATTTTTGTATTACGACATATTTGTATCAGAGCGTGGTTGCCCTGTTTGTTCCATTCGTTTTAACATCTCTGTCATTCTGGTTTGCTCCATTTGACGGTACTTAATTTCTGCTTCCTCTATCAACACCTTTCTTTTGGCTGCTTCATCGCTAGCGAATTTGAATTTGCATATTTTGGAACTATTAATCTTATCGTATATTTCTTGTGATAAACCTTCCCATTTTGAAGATAACGGGGATATCAATAAACTTTTGATAAATTGCACTTTATCTTCGGACAAACGAACACGTTTTAAACCTTCGTGGTTTGTAAGTGTGCTTGAATAACCTCCCAATTCTAGACTTTTTGCACAAAATCCTGCCAAACGACGATAATTTTTATTTGAGTGTGCCGTCATGACCTCCTTATGCAGAGCAGGAAATTTCAAGTCTTTTACAGCTTGTTCAGCTAAGATGAAAGCTTCCATTTCTCCTCGATACCAATCATTGCATATAGTATCCCACGGAAAGGATGGAAAACGTTCCAATGCTTCTCTAATGGCTAACATATATGTTAAGCCGAATGATTTAAAGCGGTTATAAAGAACCTTGAACAAGTCACTAAGATCGTCAGTCTTAGAAAATAACGTTGCCATCATTTCTTGTTTTTTAAGATCAGTTACACAATTGAGATCGTTCCACACACTCATTTCAATCGGGGAAAAGCAGAATTCCACATTAGTACCGGTCATGTTACGAATTAAGTTGCAAACATTCGCTGACGGTTCTTTACCCATCAAAGCAAAGCAAAATTTGATATATGCATAAGCCATCAATTGATTAACCAAAATGTCTGTTCTTGTCATAAATGTAACAAAGAATAAAGTTCCAAGATACGAAAAACGCTGATTGTAATTATAAGCATTCCATACATCTTCTGTCATAATGGTTGATGGAAAAGCAGTTTTGACAATTTCTAGAGTCATTTTCATCACAATTTTAATTGGATACTTAGTGACATTTTGCATATCATACGAAACGATAGTTGCTATGCCGTATCTCATGGCGTTGTCAGATGTTGCTTTTTCTGGGCTCAGTGTTTGTTTATCAATTATATACCCGGCACCAGCTGCAGAACAGAACCAAATAAAGTGGTCATGAGTAGTTTGGTTTTTCATTTGCCAATCAACAGGAAAAGCAGGGAATGCTGATGATATTTTTAAATCACAATCATAATTCTCAATTTTTTTCTTTGAGAATGTTTTACCAGCCGGTAATAGTGTATCCACAGAGTGACTCGCAGAATTATTGGACGCTTGAATGTTATCAATTGATGGACGTTTGAAGCCACTTGGCCCAGCAATTCCAGTTACCATTGCTGGATCCATTTGTGTCGTAGGAACAACTTTCGGAACCTGTTCACCTGTCGTTTTTCGATCGGCCATTTCAGGAAGTTCACTATCAGAAACTGACAAATGCTCAGGAATAGATTGAGAATAGATTAGGAATAAGAATACCTTGTTGTGATCTGTTCGTTCAGGAGATACGGATGGTTGTCTAGTTCGTTGTGAAGCTCTAGTCAAATATATAAGCATGACTCATGAGTGTATTAGAATCAACAATACCTCCAGTATGTCACGCAGTATATGAACGGTTAGGATTTTTTCGGCCTCTAAACTTTGGCGCAATATTTACACGCATGCATGCATGTACGTTTCTTCAGTGCTGCCATCTAATGGCATTGATCGGAATGTTCAGTTCACTTACGCATTAATATTTTTTTTTTGTTGTTTTGTTTTGTATTTATTTACTTTTTTCTGTTTATATATCGCTTTGTGTGTTTATGACTAAATAAATCAAATTTAATCATCATCATCATCTTTAAACACATAATACATCAAATGAAGATCAACAAATTAAATTTTTCCTTATGAATTCATTGTGTAAATTTTAATGATGAATAATTTTTTTCATTGGATTCCATCGTTATATGGATGGTCATCGATGGCCAACAACGAGAATGAAAAAATGTTGAATTATGTTACCGAATTCGTATACAGTATATATGTTGATCATCGTGAATTGGCATTCCAAAATCCACGTACATTGTTCTTATACTGTACAATATTATTCATTTGTGTAGTCATATTTCTTTATCATTTGAATAAATTGCGAAAAAAAGTGACCAAAGTCATTCTACCAGATGAAACAAAACCTCGATTCCGTAAACGTGATAAAGTAATGTTTTTTGGCCGTAAAATTCTTCGAAAAGTTCGTTCATCTGTTCCCGATCCAAGTAAGATGATTGTAATGTTTTAATTCTAATAATCTAATCCATTGATTACCGATTAGTTCGTCATCGTGGCCGCAAACGTCAATTTGTTCTGAAATTTGCCAAACGATTACTTCGATTGAAAAAAGATGATCCGTTGCAATTAAAAGTGAAAGAACCATCACAAGCATTTTTAAAGGAAGATATTTATGATCCAGCCGGACATGATCTACCTGAAGAACTTGTTTACATGATTCATGGTATTCGAGTACTTGGATTTTTTGAAAAACCTTTATTCCTGAAAATGTGCCAAAAAATCGAAGAAATGAATGTAATGAAAGGCGAATTTCTTTTCAACATTGGTGATCCCGATGATAGTATCTATATTGTCAAAAATGGTGAAATCAAAGTAACCCTTAACGAACCGGATGGATCGATTCTATTGTTAAAAAATGTTTATACTGGTGAATGTATAGCCAGTATGTTATCCGTGATGGATGTATTGAATGGTTATCCATCACAATTCAAAACTATATCCGCTTCAGCAGTTCAAGATAGCCAAATATTAAGATTGAAAATTGATGTTCTCAAACAACTAGTCGATGACAATCCTGAAATGTTAATTCGAGTCGTTCAAATCATCATGGTTCGTCTTCAACGTGTTACATTTACATCATTATATAAATATCTGGGTTTGACTACACAACTAATCAAACCTGGTATTCAATTACCAAAACGTTCATTGGCAAATATTAATGCAACTTTATTGAAAAAATCCAGTCCTAGTAGAAATAATCGAAATGGCCACCATCGATCATATTCAAATGCTGATGCTATTGATCTTGGTAAACTCATCAAAATGGAATCAGATACATCGAAAACAGCGGCTTCTAATAATGAGTCGTCATCATCTCCTAAACTCATTAGACAGGATTCAGAAGACCGATCTCGATTTATGATGACAAAAAGGAAAAAATCTGTTTTAGGTGATGATCGTACGGCTGGAATGACCTATGATGAAATGGTTGATATGGCCATCGCTGATTTGAAAATCATTCTCCACATTGATGATGGCAATATTCTACGTGATCATATTAAAATCAAAGAATTTTATCGTGATGCTTGTTTGGCTTCTGAAGAATCTCATGATGAGATCAATCTAATATTTGTTCTTTCCGGTTCAATCACGATATCACAGAAATTGATTGATTCTAATGAAGAAGCCAATCTATATACTGTTTATCCTGGTGAATTGATCGGCGCATTAGATGTGCTTACCGGTGAAGAATCAATATTCACGGTGAGAACAAAACAAAATTGTAAAGTTGCCGTTATCTCTCGTGATGCTGCCTACGATATATTGTCAAAATATCCTAAAGTTGCATTGAATTTAGCCCACACAGTCATTCAACGTTTATCACCGTTTGTACGACAGATCGATTTCGCTTTAGATTGGAATCATTATGAATCAGGTCGTGCCATTTATCGAATTGGAGAAAAATCCGATTGTACATACATCGTATTGAGTGGCCGTCTTCGTTCAGTCATTCAATTGACCAATGGAAAACGTCAGCTAGTCGGTGAATATGGTAAAGGTGATTTATTTGGAATCGTCGAATTGATTACTCAAACTCCACGATCTTCAACTGTCATTGCTGTTCGTGATACTGAATTGGCAAAACTTCCGGATGGTCTACTGGAAACAATAAAAACTAAATACCCAGTCGTCGTGACTCGTTTAATTCATTTACTTGGCCATCGATTATTGGTTGGAAATAATATGTATTCACTAACTAGTGGTAAACCAATCTCTGACATTGGTTCCCGACCTACTGGATCAAATTTTTCCACTGTCGCTTTATTGTCCGTGAATGATGAAGTTCCATTACATGCTTTTGCCTATGAATTGTATCATGCATTGACAGCTATTGGTTCAGTTGAACTTTTAACCTCGGATTTTGTGCGAAAATGTTTGGGACAAACGGCTTTGGATAGACAAAACGAATATCGTCTATGTCATTGGCTAGGAATCCAAGAAGATAAAAATAAAATTGTTTTATATCAATGTGATAAAGGATTTTCCGCCTGGACACAGCGATGTATTCGTCAAGCTGATTGTATATTGATTGTCGGTATGGGTGAACAAGAACCAACAGTAGGTGAAGTGGAGAAACAACTTCAATATCTATCGATACGTACGCAGAAAGAACTTGTCCTATTACATCGATTAGATGGTCCTAGACCAAAAAATACTGTCGAATGGCTCAATATGCGAGATTGGTGTTCATCTCATCATCACATTCGTTGTCCAAAACGTGTTTTCATTAAACGTTCACCATTGAAACTACGTGAATATTATGAAAATGAAGTGAAAACACATCAACCATCAATATTTTCCGATTATTCACGATTGGCTCGATTCTTGACAGGAAAATCGATTGGTTTAGTTCTTGGAGGTGGTGGTGCTCGTGGTATCGCTCACATTGGAATGATTAAATCAATCATCGAAGCTGGTCTACCCATCGATATGGTTGGTGGTGTCAGTATTGGTGCATTCATGGGTGCATTATGGTGTCAGGAAAACAATCTGACAACATTCATACAAAAAGCTCAAAGTTGGTCGAACGGAATGACTTCTTATTGGCATCAGATTCTAGATCTTACATATCCATCCACTGCTATGTTCACCGGTAATGCTTTCAATCGTTCCATTTATGAAGTTTTTGCTGAAGTACAGATTGAAGATCTTTGGCTACCTTATTTCACTGTCACAACAGATATAACATCAAGTTGTCCCCGTACACATCGCCATGGTTCATTATGGCGTTATGTTCGTGCCAGTATGTCATTATCTGGTTATCTACCTCCACTTTGTGATCCTACCGATGGTCATCTACTGTTGGATGGTGGTTATGTCAATAATCTTCCAGCCGATATTATGCATAATGTTATGGGTGCAGAAACAATATTGGCTATTGATGTGGGTAGCCAAGATAATTCTGATCTCACTAATTATGGTGACACATTAAGTGGATGGTGGCTGCTATGGAAACGATGGAATCCATTCACCGAGCCTGTACGTGTTCCAAATCTACCGGAAATTCAATCTCGATTAGCTTATGTTTGTTGCGAGAAACAGCTTGAAGAAGTTAAAAGTTCCGATTATTGTTGGTATATTCGACCACCCATCGATGGTTTTAAAACGTTACAATTTAAAAGCTTCAAAGAAATTATGAATGTTGGCTATCATCACGGAAAAGCTGTCTTTAGTACAGTCAATTTTGGCGATGAACTTTCCATATTTGAATTGTTCAATAAGGAAAAGAATCAAATTCGACGAAAATCAATCATTTCCCAATCGAATAATGAATCGATTATCGGTGGTGATCGTTCGATTGATAGCCATTCATTGATGATCATCGGTAAAGCATCAAGACAGACATCGTTTACCGATTTAGCTGAAAGAATATGTAATATACAGAATCCAATAATATCGAATACAGCTACGGAATTTGAATTTGATAATATAATCGAAGATGAAGAAGCAGAAGGAGAAGAAGAAGAAGAAGAGATGATGGATAATTATTTCTCTGAACCGGAATTACGTGATACCGATACGGATATTGAAAATCTGATTGATCGTAAAATTAGCAACGAAGTTTAATAATGTTTTATCATCATAGTTTCTTTTTGTTGATGTTTTCAAAATCACAGATTTATGTTCATATGGAGGTGATTCAAAAATTTTCTGTTTTTTTTTGATTTTTAACCAAAATAAAAATGTTTGTTTGTTAATAATTGATCAAAAATCATGCGAGTATAAACGGTTGAATATAAAAAAACATGAAAAAATTGATTGAATTATTTGTGTTGTATGAATGTTATATTTTACTATTTCTGAACCATGTGCTGCCATCTATTGATATAAATAATAACTACGTTCCGAGGTAGCGAAAGTGGCGGTTCCAAGCGGATTTTATGTGAACTAATTTTTTCGAAAATTTGAACAAAAAATGCAAAAAATTAGTTCAATTAAAATCCGCTTGGAACCGCCACTTTCGCTACCTCGGAACGTAGTTATTATTTATATCAATAGATGGCAGCACATGGTTCAGAAATAGTAAAATATAAATTAGGACAATAGCCAATTTCACCTTATTTATTATACACTCATACCCCGCTTAACGCTGCCCCGTTTAGCGCTGATTCGATATAACGCTGTATAATTACCCTACATTGCATTACATTGTTACATTGTATATGAAGGGTAAAAATGCATTATGTAAAGATAGCCCCGCTTAGCGCTGTTTCGCTTAACGCTCAGAATTTTTGGAACGTAACCCCCGCGTTAAGCGGGGTATTACTGTAATTAAATGAATGATGAAAACTCTTTTCAAATGTGGAGAAATTAGTCCATCATCATGTTTTATTAAATGAATGAATGCAAACTTTATTATTATTATTATTGAGAAAGAATAGTTATCAAATAATAAAAACTATGGAAAAAAAAGCAATGAATATTATTGTTCACAAATATTTTCATGATGATAATCAAACATTAATGGCGGCAGTTTTCAATTCAAATATTTTGTATGCATTTGATCGCAATTCCAATAGGGAATAATCATGTGGTACAGCTGTGTGATAGGCAAACATTCCCATATTCAATTCAGCATGAATGATATTAGCAACACGAGCCATCTGACTTTGACATAGAACATGACGATTAGTTGGCGTTAGAAGTTGATGGACATTGAAATTTTCAATCAATTTACGATAATGTTGAATGCTAGAATCGCCATCATTGCCAGCAAATGATTGTCCAAAACAAAGTAATTTAATGAATATGTCATAGATTCCTGCTCCGGTTAGATCCCAATTCGGTATCAAATGTCTATGTGGACGTAATTTGTCAATGAGATGGCGAATTTCTTCGTAATCTTCATTGATGACCAATTCAGGAAAGATGCGATCAACAAGTATATCATGAGCTTCTTTATACTGTCCAATTATCAATAGATTCATTGCTATATCACGATGATATCGTTTGGTACGAGCCCAATAAAGTTTAGCTTCGGATAATAAACGAGAATCGATATGATATTTCTCCACTATTAAGTGCTCCAAATCTAGATCATCCATCAATTGTTTAGCATTTCTCGCGAGCAATTCTTTAACATAGAATGTTCGAATATAATCATTACGGATATGAAGAGCAAAAAATAATGACCAATATAAATCACGACATTGTGAAGCCATAAAAATATTGATCGAATCACATTTGTTTGTTGAAACATCTTCGATGATCACGTTATAACTTTGAAGCTGTTCTTGTAACATCCAAGAATCTAAATAATTTGTTGCCGATGTTATGGCAACCCATGGCTGATGTTGAGCAAGCATATGATATTCAACAGTATTAGGGTGAATAGTTAATTCTTCAATGGCTGTACGAACCAAATTGGTACCAATCATTTCGACACCTGTACGTGTTTTATACAGTAACAATAATGTCAATTGTTGTGTCCATTCAAGCCCATCCAAAGTATCAATAATCTGTCCAGTGCTCATTGTCCATGACGATAATCCGCTTAGAATGATATAGATTTTCAACAAATCTTTCACAATGAATACATCAGATTCGGAACGTTTCCAGAGGTCGAGCTGTGCGATCATCAATTCTTTTCGGCAATATGGGCCACATGAAATTAAATATGACAACCGTGCAAGTTTCGAATTAATACATTCGGTAACAGCAAATTCCAGCTCGTTAGTAGTCAGGAAGTGGACAATACGATCGAATGAACTTTCTGGAACGGGTAAAGTTTTGTTGTAGTTATATAACCATTTTAATATTCGACGAAGACGTTCTTGGTGGCGAGCATAATCAGTTGTTTCACTTAATTCTCCATACAAAGCTTCAATCAATAAATTGAGATTAGAATCTACCATTTGATTTAAGCTATAGGCATTTGTACGAATCAATGGTGGGATTCTTGATTTTTCTTGCAGCTGTTGAATTTGTTGATCTTCGTTATTCTCAATAGTGGAATGCGAATTGAATTGTAGTTCCAGTTTTTCAATCGATTCTGTTTGATCCAATCGAAGAAGATCAACATTGAAAATCAAAACATCGTTACCGACAATAAGGCAAAATTTATTCGATCCATTAGCGAAATGTGCTTTTGGGTATTCTGCATTCGATATTGAATAAGCATTCGCTTTTTGTTGTGGCGAAGTAGTTTGTTGTTCAAAAATCAATCGTCGTTTTTTCGGAATGGTTGCTTTGAGGAATCTGGCTGGAAATAATGTCGAACTTGTGGCAACCGATGGCATTATTTGACTCATTTGACTGGTTGATGGTGTCATTTTGATGAAAGATAAATTTTTACATTTCTTAGACATTGTTTCAATTTCATCATCTTCAACAAATAACGCCGAACGCATCAAATTATATTCATCATTTTTGGCTTTAATTGATATTGATAACGGTGATTCATATGGTTGACTTTCATCAATTTGATCAGCAATAAACAAGCCAGAACTACCGTATTTTCCTTGTGTTTTTGGTTCGGATGCATTTTCACTTGATTTACTTGCGAAATATGGACTTTGTTGATTGAACAATATATCTCGGGAATCTAAAGAATGGCCATTCAACTGTTGCTGTTGTTGTTGATTATTCATTTGATCTAATTCATTCGAATGAAAACCATTAAGATGAAGGTTCAATTTTTGTCCACTCATATCATAAGTTTGTTTGACATAAGTCTGTTGAGATTTTTTTGAATACGGATCTGATTTTTGTTGATCTCCTGTAAATAAGATGAATTAGGTAGAAATAAATAAAAAAATTCAATACAATGCTTACCTTTGGCAGGTTCGATAATTTCGACATCTTCTTCATCAGCATCTAAACCATATTTACTGAAATGTTTCACCTGGAAAACCCATGATCCAGTATCGGAACGATATTCTTTGAATGTCGCACCCAATTTTATGGTCACCTTTTCTAAACGTTCAGCATATTTCATCAAACGCAAACGTTCAGTATCCTTAATGAATTCTCTGGTTGTCTTGTCAACCGGCCAAACTTGATCCAATGTGATTTGCGCTGGACGATTCAAACCTTCACCTTCGGGTGGTTTTAGATCATCATCTGGATATACAATCACTTCTTTACGTCGGATATGAACAATTTCATCTAAATTAATTCCTTTGATATTAAGTGGTCCACGCCAGAAAATTGAGCCATAATCAAGTCGACCCACAGTGAATGAATCAACCACACAGGTATCATCATCTGGATTATAAAATTGATCACATTCATCCAATGATGGAATCGTATAGTAATCCGTACGAGTTAAAATGACACCACATTTGGGTGGTACATAATTTGCCATATTTATCGACGTTTCCAGGCGATCATCACCGCCCATTATTGAATTTGATGAGAAATTTAATGGTCCATAAAGATTTGAAAAAGATTTTTCCGGTGAAGAAATGCTAGCGGTTGATGAATTACTGAGATTTTTTCTTGAAGTTTGATTGTCTTTAGAAGCTGAATCTATTTGTTCGGATGTTTGTTTTCCATTCAATATGTTAATTGTATTATCAGCTGGTGATGCATCTTTATCAACAGTTGGTATTGAAGAAATTTTTGACGATTCCTTTTCCTTGTTAAAAGAATCTGATACATTATGTAACGATGAAGATGCTACAGGCTTCGTCAATGTTGATGTCTTCAAAATTGTTGCCGAAAATTGACTGGTAGAATTATTTGAGCCCGAATCAGATTTATTTAGGACTAATTTCTTGATATTCTGTCTCGGTTTAAATATATCAGCAGCCGATTTTAAATTTTCGGGACTTTCATCATCAAGTCCATCAAATAGCAATGTTGTTGGTTTTCCGAAAACAGGAACACGTTGAACTTTGTTGACTTCGGTTTTTGATTTGGCATTCAATTTATATTGATTCAATGTTTTCGGATCAGTTGTAAATTTGGTTTTCGAATTAGCCGTTAATGAATTTTCCGATAAAATCGGTGGTAATGTACCGTATGGCATCGTTTTTAAACGAGTTATTATTTGATCTGTATTGATCGATGGAGCATTAGAATTGGTGCCTGTTGTTCCAACACCATTTATTTGTTGTGAAGCTTGATTGAGATTACTACCGAAAAAACCACCAGTCGAGAGGCCAGCATTCTGGCCAAATGTATTAGTACTGAGACCGGTACCAAATGTGTTTCCAAATGTTGAACCGGTGGATGTTCCGCCCAGATTGAAACCGATATTCGTACTACCAAATGGTTGAGAAGCATTTGTACCAGCTCCAAATGAACCAAAATTACTTGCACCAAACGTATTATTCGATCCGAATAATGATCCAGTAGTTCCGGTGCCAAATGCATTTGCAGTTGATCCAGTATTCCCGAATAATGTTGATGAATTGGAAGTTGGATTAAATGTTGATGTTTGATTTAATGTTTGAGTTCCAGGAAACGAGAATGCACCCGGTTTACCTAATGTCGATTGATTTGCATTGAATAGCGATGGTTGTGAGGTGCTTGAGCCAAAAATTCCACCAGTTTGACTTGTAGGATTTGTAGCACCAAAAAGGCTAGTCCCAGTTTGTTGTTGCTGTTGTTGTGCTGGTTGTGTCTGACCAAATGGCGTCAAACTACTTCCGAACATTGGTTTATTAGTGGCCAAAGGATTTTGATTTTGGCCAAAAATAGAGCTAGTCGTTCCAGTGTTGCCAAACAATGAATTTGATGTTGATGGTTGATTAGTGCCTAATGTGTTTGTCTGGCCAAACGAGAATGGCTGAGAGGTGGATGATGGCTGTTGTCCAAAAAAACTGAGAGATTTATTATCGTTAGTTTGACCAAACGCTGTTTGCGTTGTGTTCTGACCAAATAACCCGGATGTGCCAGCAGTTGATAAACCAGAATTGAACATTGATGTTGTGGCTACAGTAGTCGGTGCAATCGAGCCAAAAGGTTTTTGTGTATTACCAAACAGACTACTTCCAGTCGATGTCTGACCGAATGCATTGGGCTGTCCTGTGCCTAAACTTCCTGTACCAAATGTTGAAGTTCCTGTTGGATTTCCGATCGTTGATGCACCAAACAATCCTGTCTGTTGTTGTGGTCCTTTACGACCAGTTGCATAATCTTCAAGACGAAGCTCTTCCAATGATTTAGTATCATATTCACGCATACAAGTAATGCATTGTAAACGAATATTGATACTTGTACTTTGTGTTTGACCATTCTTAACCATCGTATCGGTTGATGTTTGTGGTTGAAATTTAATTGTAGTACCTGTTGCTATATTCATTGTTCCACTCAAACCAGTGTTGGTGCCAAATGTATTCGAAGTTCCAAAACGATTGGCATTTGCAAATATAGAATTCTGTGTTTGTGTCGCCTGTGGATTATTGGTAGCTGTATTTCCAAATAACGATGTTCCACCACCAAAAGCAGATTGCGTACCAAATGTATTGGTTTGTGGTTGTGTTGCACCAAACAACGTACTGGTGGCAGGCTGAGTTAGCCCAGTACTACCGAATAATGATGATTGTTGGGTGCCAGTTTGTCCGAACAACGTTGATTGTGGTTGTTGTGTGGCACCAATACTTCCAAACGGTGTAACCGTTGTATTGAAAGCTAAATCAAAAGAAAAAGAATTTATAGAAAACAAAATATTAGATTGCAATGAATGATTTTCTATCTATAACCAATTTATATACTGATCAATGAGATTTACCTGAAGGCTGACCAAATGTACCAGTAGAAGTACTTTGGCCAAACATTTTTTATAATTTTTTTGTTGTTGTTATCAATACTCTTTAAATATGTAATGAAAGAATATAAAGAATAATTATTATGATGATGACAATATGAACAGCACTTGATGCAACAATAAGAATTATCAATTGTCAATCGATATCTTCAATTTCTCAATCATCAAATTAATAATAAATCAAATTAAAATTCAAAATGTGATGATCGTTGAAAATTTGCATGTGAATTCAATCGAATCACAACATACCATGGATACACATACACACACACACACAATGCGTTGTAGACAAATACATACAATGCTCAATGGTCACTAGGGGGCGTTTCTTGTATATTTTTTTTAATTTTACGGAAAGTTTTTTCGCGCTTACGATATTTAACCATTCGAGAATTTCTTTTAAACTTTTTTTTTCACAATTTCTTTTCCATTAATAATAATCAACGATCGTTTTATGTTGCAATAATTCTTTCTTTTTATTTTATTATTTCCACTGTTTTTGATAATCATTGAAATAAGATGAATATCAATAATATAATAACTCAATTATTTGTCTTAATAATCACTGTGAGTGAAAAATGCCCATTAGCATTACATTATTAGATAGATATCTTTTAAAATTATTTTACGATTTAAAATCTAAAATTAACGGTGGCAATATTTTTCCACGGCAGTCACCGAAACCAATTCGATAACCATTGCCTTGACAGTATCCTTCCATAATGATCGAATCATTATCTTGTAAGAATGTACGCGTTATGACACCATCGGTACCAAGATTTAATGGTCTGTTTCCTTTCCAAGAAAGTTCTAACATTGATCCATATGAATCAGGTGTTGGTCCACTTATGGTTCCTGTTGCCAATAGATCACCAGATCGAATCTAAAACGAAATAAAGTTCTATATAAACATGATTACACCAATAATCTATCTTACATTGCATCCGGTAATGGAATGATGAGCCAATTGTTGTTTAATAGTCCAATAAAGATAACGATAATTTGATTTACAGATCAAATTACGTTCCATACCATCTGGTTTAAGGAAAACATTCAAATTGATATCGAAATTGTAATTATCTGAATGATGAAGATAAGCAAATGGTTTCGGATCTTGGGGAGTGTTGGCCACTTTGAATGGCTCTAAAGCTTCCATTGTGACCACCCAAGCACTGATTGATGTACCAAGTGATTTAGCCAAAAAAGGTCCCAATGGAACATATTCCCATTTTTGAATATCACGAGCACTCCAATCGTTCATCAAAACCATACCGAAAATACGATCTTGAGTTTTTTCAATCGGTATCGGTTGTCCCAACGAATTCTCTTGTCCACCGATTAGGAAAGCCATTTCTAATTCAAAATCCATTAGACGACATGGACCAAATTTTGGTGGTTCATCATCGGCCGGTCGTGTTTGACCGTTTGGCCGTCGAATCGGAGTGCCTGAAATAACAATCGATGAAGCACGACCATGATAACCAACGGGCAAATATCGCCAATTAGGAAGCAATGCATTTTTAGGATCACGAAACATGGAGCCAACATTGGTTGCATGTTCTAATGATGAATAAAAATCCGTATAATCGCCAATTTGTGCCGGAAGATGCATTGTGGCCATTGCTTGTGGAACAAAAGCAATTTCACGAAGTTTACTATCATCACGTAGGGTGGCTGTATTTTTATCCAACAAATGTTGCAATGTTTGTCTTGCTTCATGCCAAGCATCTTTACCTAATTCTAAGAATTTATTCAATGTTGGTTCGTTGAATACTTTGGCTGCAACATCTTTGAGATGTTTTCCCTGAAACAGATGGACAATTTTACTTAGGTCCAAAATTTGATCACCAATAGCAACACCAATCCGATGACGAGACTGGAAAAAAAGTGAAAAGAAAAAATTCAATATTTTTTAACCTAAAAAAAATAATCATACCTCAGATTCTGTGGAAAAAACTCCATAAGGCAAATTTTGTATCGGAAATGGATGATCGGCTGGAATTTGGATAAAAGACATGATTGTTGCTTAGCAAGCTTGATTGAATGATTGAATCAATGTAAAAAATGTTTAAAATCCAACTGTTGAATGAGCAATGTTGAATTGGATAAATTAAAATGGCATCTGGCATTCACTAACAAAATTGAAACAAAAATGTTTTTTTTATGTGAAGCTAAAGATTTGTTTTCAGTCATAAAAGAATATATGTGTCCAAGGACATCAGATATTTAATGAAAACGAAGACAGTGTTCATTCTTTGGTGGAAAGAAAAAAAAACTGGTTTCAATTATCGAAATGAACATTGAATTGTTAATTTGTTTCAACTGTATACATGATGATGATGTTTTTGGAAATGACCATTTTTCAAGGATAAATTTTTTTTCATAATTAAAATGATGATTTTTTGATTTGACAATTTATTTCGTTATCAATTTTTTGATTTGTCGAATTTTTTTTTGTAAAAAAAAATTTTTTTCTATTTATACCCAAAAGTACATTGGTGTGTATAATAGCCACGCCTGGCATGTGAGAATATGAAATGTTGGCCAAATGTTGCATGTTGGACAAAAATAAAAAAAAAAATCAGGTTACGTGTATCATCACCATTCGGTTTGATTAAATCAAGAAAAAATTTGAAGAAATGTGGGTACAAATAAAATACTAATATTTGAAAAGTTGAATTTATTCAATTTTTTATTGTAAAACAGGGAACAACAAGTGCAACAAGGTGAACAAAAACTATCGAAAAATGCATTGAAAAAAGCTAAAAAAGAAGCAGAAAAAGCAGCGAAAAAAGCTGAAGCAGCACAGAAACGTGCCGAAACACAACAACAATCGGAAGCTAGTGTTGAAGATTATTCTAAAGATAATTATGGCATATCGCCGATGATTCGATCGACTGAAAGAAATGTGGACCGAATATTTGTCAATGTCAATAAGATTGATGAATCGTTGGCCGATCAAACCATTTGGATTCGTGGCCGTCTTCATACTAGTCGTGCTGTTGGTAAACAATGTTTTTTCGTTCTTCGTCAACGTCAATCCACTTTACAGTGTTTATTAGCGGTTGGCGAACATGTTAGCAAACAGATGGTTAAATTTGTCACATCAATCACAAAAGAATCTATAATCGATGTGCAAGGTTTAATCAAAATATCGCCAACAAAAATCGAAAGCTGTACACAGCAAATGGTCGAATGTTCGGTGCAAAAATTTTTGTTATAAGTGCTGCTGAACCAATGTTACCATTGTTGATAGATGATGCTGCACGTCCTGAACATGAAGTTGGTGATGGATTATCCACCGTGAATCAAGATGTTCGTCTTGATAATCGTATATTGGATCTTCGTACTTCAACTAATCAGGCCATATTTAAACTTGAAGCAGGTGTTGTTCATGTTTATCGTCGATCATTGGAACGACGTGGATTCGTTGAAATTCATACACCGAAAATTATACCGGCTGCTAGTGAAGGTGGTGCCAATGTATTCGAAGTGAGTTATTTCAAAGGTTCAGCTTATCTGGCACAATCACCACAATTCTACAAACAAATGGCTATTGCTGCCGATTTTGATCGTGTATTCACCATTGGTTCGGTATTTCGTGCCGAAGATTCCAATACACATCGTCATCTGTGTGAATTTATTGGTTTGGATTTTGAAATGGCTTTCAATTATCATTATCATGAAGTATTGGATGTGATTGGTGAATTATTTGTCGAACTATTCAAAGGATTACAACAGGAATATGCTGATGAGATTAAAACAATCGATCGACAATTTCCTTGTGAACCGTTTAGATTTTTGGAACCATCACTTCGAATTAATTTCTCTGAAGGTGTAAAACTTTTACGTGACAATGGTGTTGAAATGGGTGATGAAGAAGATTTAAGTACAGCAAATGAAAAATTATTGGGCAAAATCATTAGACAAAAATATGATACCGATTTCTATATTTTGGATAAATTTCCATTGGCTGTTCGACCATTCTATACAATGCCTGATCCAGATAATCCGGTAAAAAAACATTTATCATTGACCATTTTTATTGATGATTTCATTTCTGATTTTTTTTTCGTTGTTTTCATCGAATATATATGTAGAAATATTCAAATTCTTATGATTTATTTATGCGTGGCGAAGAAATCATGTCTGGTGCACAACGTGTTCATGATCCAGAATTTCTAATTGAACGTATTAAACATCTTGGAATCGGTAATGATTATTATTCTTATTCTTATAAAAAAATCATTAATATTTTCAATTTCCATCCCATTCACATGTAAATTAGATCCAAACAAAATGAAATCATACATTGATTCATTCCGTTATGGAGCGCCACCACATGCTGGTGGTGGAATCGGTTTGGAACGTGTTACAATGTTGTTTCTTGGTTTGAACAACATTCGTAAAACATCGCTATTTCCGCGTGATCCTAAACGTGTTTCGCCTTGAATACATTTGTATTGGTAATGATGATCAATTTTTTTTTTGTTCATCAAGTTTGAAAAAAAATTAATCATTGATTGATAAAAAAATAAATAAATAAAAAAAAATTGATAAATTGAGCAAATCAATTGAAGTATATAGTAGTATATAGTAGATTTATTTCATTTTCATTTTGTTGAAAATATTTTAATTGATTGAAATGGCAAAATTGTACATTTTTTCTTTGTCATCATCATTTTTATTCATCATCATCATCATTAATCAATGTTTATTATTGTCCACTGCATTTGAATGTCAATCAATATCAATGAATCAAGATCAAAATGACAATGATGATGATGATGATGATCGATCATCATTATTGAATCGTATGCCACATTGTACATCATTTTGTCCAAATATTCATTTCAATGGTCATTGCCATTGTACAGTACTATCGTCCATGTTATCAACAAAACAAGATGATCAAAGTATTGATATACGAATCGAATGTCGTCATACAAATGCTAGTATTTTGATGACTGATATCGAAAATTTGGCGTCATGTAATTCGACAATTAATTTATTAGAATTATCGGTAAAAGATTCGAATCTAACACATCTTTATAATTTGCCCAGTGGTTTGTATAATGTACAGAAAATGTTTCTCGATAATACCGGTATCGATTTGGAAACAATTCGTGAAAGTCAAGAATTGTTGAAATCATTACGAGTATTGCGAATAAGTAATGAAAATTTTACTGAAATTCAACGAAATCTATTCAACGGGATGGAAGAATTGAAAGAATTATCGTTGAATAAACTTGGCATGGCATATATCAATATCGAAGCATTTGTTTCATTACAGGATTCATTGACATTGTTGGAATTACGATCGAATAAAATTCGTACCGTGCCAACGGCTGTACAAAGTTTGTCGCATTTAGAATGTTTAGATCTTAGCGGTAATGATATTAAATCCGTTACTGATGGTAATACAGGAATATTCAGTTCAGGATTAAGACGATTAAAAAGATTAGGAATCAATAGTAAGCAATGTGATATATCTATTTTTATTTTTTAATTTCATGGTCCATTTTTTTTCGATTCTAGCTATGAATTGTTCATGTGAATTTGGTAAAAGTAAATTTGCCACATGGCTACGTACACATGGTATCAAAGGTGTTCAATGTGCAATGCCTGAACGTTTTCTAGATAAAGATGTATCGAATACAGCGATTGAAGAATTTTGTGAACCATGGCCAAATTCTAATGTTCGAATTGAATCAAATTGTCCGATGATCATCATCATTATTATTATTTTTATTACATTACAGCAGTTGTTGTTGTTGTTGTTGTTGTTTGGCTAATAAAATCAAAATTCAATTTGCTATAAAAAGCCAATTTTGTTTGGTTTATTATGATTAAAAAATAATTTATTTTTGATTATATTCCACTGGAAATTATGGTCATTGTTAAAGTGAAACAGCCAAAAGTGATCATGTTCGATATATCGGGCACTGTTGCACGAGAATCATTTGTTGAAAAAATTTTACAACCATATTTTAAGATTGCCTATCAGGTTTATATGGATAATGCATGGAATAAACAAGAATGGCAAGACTGTCTACGACAATTGTCCATTGTGGCTGAACGTGATATGAAAGCACCGAAAATTGAATTGACCAAAGAAAAATCGGATATAATCAAAGAGGCAACAAAATATATTGAATATTGTTTGGAAAATAATCATGAACCAAAAGCATTTGTTATGTTTAGATTTTTAGTATGGTTTGATGGTTATGAACGGAATAAAATTAAAACGCCCGTTTATTCAGATGTGGCAGTCACAATGAAACGATGGAAAATGGATCAAAATATCAGACTTTATGTGTTGTCTAATGGTTGGAAAGAGGCTAGTAAAAAATTCATGTCCGATACATCACATGGTGATTTGAATGCCATTATTGATGGTCATTTTGATAATTCACTTGGTTCATTGGAAAATGTTGAAACATATATTAAAGTGGCTAATTTGATACAGGAAAAACCTGGTGGTGATCAAATATTATTTCTAACAAAATCACCACAAGAAGGTAAAGCAGCACAAAATGCCGGTTTCAATGTAATATTAGTATTGACACGAACACATGCCGTTGATGAAGCAATGGAAATTTGTCAAGATATACCGATTGCAAGATCATTTACCGATATTGAATTTATTTAATTAATGTAATAATTCCATACAACAACCTCAACAACAACAACCAAAAAAATAAAATACATTCATGTCATTGAATTGAATTGAATGTAACAAATTCGAATGTCGATCGAATGTGATATGATGATGATGATAATGAGATGAACAGATGAGAAAACAAAAAATTAATAAACTATTTCAACACACTATTGATCGAAAAAGAAAAAAATGCCCAATAATCATCTTATTGATTTGATTAGACATATATTGATATTGATTTATTTTTGTCTGGCGCCTGGCCATCCGGTTATATCCGGTGAAAAATCAAAGAAAAAAAAATTCGAATTTGTTTCTTTCATCCACACCACCCAGCAATGGAAATTTGTCAAGATATACCGATTGCAAGATCGGTAATAATTCCATACAACAACCTCAACAACAACAACCAAAAATAAAATACATTCATGTCATTGAATTGAATTGAATGTAACAAATTCGAATGTCGATCGAATGTGATATGATGATGATGATAATGAGATTTTAAACTATTTCAACACACTATTGATCGAAAAAGAAAAAAATGCCCAATAATCATCTTATTGATTTGATTAGACATATATATTGATTTATTTTTGTCTGGCCATCCGGTTATATCCGGTGAAAAATCAAAAAAAAAAAAATTCGAATTTGTTTCTTTCATCCACACCACCCACGCGGTTCCAAATGATTTATGATCACACACACACACATTGGTCCAATGAATTGTGTATTCAGAAAATGATTTATCATTTATAATATATAGAAAGAATGATGATGTTGAGAGATACACCAATAACCTTTCAATGAGAATGTTTGACTTTTTTTTACTTCAAAATAGCATCGAAAAAAAATTCGAATGAAAAGTGGGGTGTACACTCATCATCATATATAGTATGTGTGTAATTAATTAATTAATTAATTAACTATAGTAGATGTTGTCGTCATTTTTAAATAAGATGTGTGTGAAAATGAAAAAAAAACAAAATCTGAAAAAATATACACGGTATACAACAACGAAATGAATTACATTTTGCTTGTCTCTCTTCTATTCAAACACAATGATCTGTTAATCTATTATCATCATCATTGATTGATGAATAAGTGTGTATTGTAAACTTTGTTTCGTATGATGTGTGTGTATGTGCGACAATCAATAAAAAAACAAACAAACAAAAATGTTTTTCTTTTCTTTTTTTTTTTTTTTTTTTTGACGACAAGTTTTAATGGCAAAAAGTCATTGTTATTAAAAAAAATGGAAAGAAATGACAATGTGTAATGTATATATATGGTGTGGGTATAGAAACAATGTGAACACACACAGCAATGATTTCATCGATGACAACAGCCAAAATGATGATGAAATGATGAACAACTAATATGTGTATGAAATGGATCCCAAATGGATTTCAAGTGGTCCAAGTATGTATAATTTTTTTTTATAGTGAAGATCTTGAAACACCGGCACCCTTTTTAATAGTAGCCGGCCATTTGTGACAAAGAATTCCAAGAATGATGATAATAACAACGACAACAACAACGACAACAACAACAACAAAACAAGATTACAAAACACGATACAAACTTTGACAAAAAAATCTTTTCATTAGAATTTTATAGAACAAGAATATAAAACAAACGATACGACAATAATAAAAATTCTTGTCTTTTGTCATGTTGTTCTGTGAAAATTCTTTGTAAAGAAAAAATAAATAAATAAATAAAACAAGAATTTGATTCTCGACAAGCAAAACAATATAATAAATAATTCGGCTGTTGTTCAGGCGGCATAACTTTTTGATTCTTTCGATTCTTTTAGTTTCGAACTTTCAAAAAACACTCACCAATGAATCTTTCGAATCAAATCAACGAAACAAAAAGATGAATTTCGGAAAGTTTTTGTTTTTTGTTTTTTTTTTTTTTTTTCAATTCATTTTTTGTTGTTATTTGTTGACTAACAATATATTTTTTTATTATTCATTCATTACAGATCGATATTGATTGTTTAGTTATTGATTTATTGGAATCAATCTATCATCATCATAATTATTATTCTATACTAACGATCGGTTTTGATTTCATCATTGGAATGGATAAATTCTATTCGCGTTCGATTTGCCTGATAATCATATGGAATCTTCTTTAGGGAATTTTGTTTGAACTGTGATTGAAAATTTAAAAAAAAAAATTCGATTCCTTCACCTTTTTTTTCTGTGAATTTCTTTCTCCTCACCAACCAAACAACCAACCAACCAACCAACGAAAAAAAAACCGTAGTGACATCCATTTTAATGTTTGCTTGTTGTTTTCATCATATATCCGTGTTGTCAACATGATGAAGATCAAACTTTTGTATATATGGCGATAAACGATAACATAGTAGTAACATTAACCAATGAAAAACATATATGGTTTCATTTTGTTTCGTTTATTATCTGTATGAATGTGGATCAAGTGAAGCGAAAACAACTATAACAACAACAACAACAGAAATCCCACAAACAATAATCAATGAATGGCAAAAGACCAAATGGCAAAACGAGAGAGAGAGAGAGAAAGCTTGGAGCCCAACAACAACAACAACAAAACCATTCGGTCTTCATAGGATCATCATCATCAATTCTAGCCACTATTATTATTCTTGGTAAACATTTGCTTTTTGTTGTTGTTGTTGTTGTTTTGTTTGAAAAATTTTTATGTCAAGAATCGAATCCAAAATATATTCTGGAGCATGTTCCGATATATGTCTGAAATGCAAACATTTTCTCTGGTTTCAAACACAACATACACACACACACACACACTATAGACTTTTAGTAAATGGACAAACACAACCCACAGAAAAAGTTTTTTTTTGTGCACTGAAAAATCTAAAACAGCAAACGAAAAAAAAATGATAAAATTGCCCAGATTGTAAATTCAGTATGTTTTTTTAAAAAAAAGACAGACATATGCATTCAGTTATTCAATTATTTATTCAGAATACAGAATATTCTTTGATATAGAAAAAAAATCAAGATATATCTAAAGTAAAAGAAATTTTCTGTTCTTTTCTTTTCTTTTCTTTTTTTTATTATGGAAACATAAAAATGTGTCATCGCCTCCTATCATTTTGTTTCATATAGGAATAGAATCATGAAGAAATGGAAAAAAGGAACTCTCTCTGTGTGTGTGTGTGTGTGTGTGTGTGTGTGTGTGTGTGTGTGTGTGTGTGTGTGTGTGTGTGTGTGTGTGTGTGTGTGTGAGTGAGAGAATATTCTCAAAGATAGATTGACCGAAAAGACAAACAACACACACACACACATGTGTGTGTGTGTGTGTGTATGTCATCGACCAATCTAGAATATATTGCCATTTACATTTAATGTGAAAAAAAAATAAAATTCACTTTTCAAATCTTTTTCTTGGTGTCTTGATTCGATTCATATCTACTACTACTACTACTACTATTATTCACTGCATTCATTTATTCATTCATAAGAATAGTAAAAAAAAAAAAATTCTTCATTCATTTTGTTTGCATTTATATATATATGCTATGAACACGAACAGATTACACACAGAATACAGAATACAGATCATCATATATGAATACACGAATTTGAATGGCCAAGAAAAAAAAACCATGCCATTCGAATTTTTTTTTTTTTTTTGGCAACAATTATGTAGACATTTATTCATATTCATATACAGTGAAGAATTTACGATTCTTCAAGACGTGATTTTAAAATGAAACAAGAAAAAAACTAAAAGTTCAATCAATGACGATAATCAAATTGTAAAAAAAAAAAAATTATATTTATAAATGAAAATCTAATGATAATCATCATCAATAATACCGGATATATGTGTGTAATAATAATATAGTTATAAATGCACTGAGTAAAAAAATTGAATCGAAAAAAAATCGATCCAAAAAAAAACAACACACACACACACAGAGAGAGAGAAAGAATGATGGCAAATTATATAGAATTATTATTATAACCAAACCACCAGTCAAATAACAACAACAGAAGATGAAGAGCCATTTTTGTTGTTGTTGTTGTTTAGCTATTCGTTGGTAGTAAACCAACGCCAACAACAACGACAAAAAAAATGTAGACCAGACCAAAGAATACCATCACTGATGAAAACAGATACCATCACATTGAGTTTGTGTGGAATATCGTTTTCATCTATCTATAGTATCTAGTAGTATGTAGTGTGTATGAAAATGGTTTGTTGTTCCTAGTGTTTTATATTCACTATATTCGATCCGGAATTCAGTATCAGTGGATCTCACACACACACACAAAGAACACCCGGACACACAAATACGATTTGCCTGTTTTTTTTTTTCCTTATTTATTAATAGTTATAGTAAGTAAGTCTGATTCAATGAGTTCTAATGGTTCATCTATATTCATCATCATCATCATCATATTATTATTATTATTATTGTTTCTAGTTTTCTAGTTGTTTTTGTTATTCTTGTTAGGCATTTTTTTTTTTGTTTGTTTCACTAGTTTATTTGGTTGATATAAGGATTATTTCTTCTTGTTTTATTTTCTGGAATCGGATTCTTTTTTTTTTTTTTGGTGGAATATACACTACTATAGTGCCCGTTTGCATGTGGGTGTGTGTGGGTGTGTGGTGTGTGTGTATGTATCGAATAACAGAACATTAGACACAACAAAACAATAGAATTTCGTTTAAAATCGATTGTTTTTTATTCAATATAATTGAAAATAGCTAATCATTATCATCATCATCATCATAATCATCATCAGAATAAAATTGTCCACAATTCTTCATGGTCATCATCAAGATCTATTTATAATATCAATCAAAAAATGAATGGATAATCGTAATCATTCGTGTATAGCAGCAATAGACATCGATAAACATAATCATGTGTGTGTGTTAGTGCTTTGAAATGATAAAACTCAAACAAACAAACAAACAAAAAACAACAACGAAAAAAAGTTGCTCAAATCACATTGTTGATCTCATCCGGTTGTCAATAAATATAATAAATATAAATAATATATTCGAATTCAAAATTGTCAATAAATAATTTGTTCAACAATTTCAAGCCTTCACAAGTCATGAATTTCTTTGAATGAATTTTGATTTTTTAAATAACGAATCAAAATTTAATCAAATCGACTCACAAAGTCTGTGTGTGTGTGTGTGTGTGTGTGCGCTTGTGTGTTTGTTCAATAATGATGAAGAGTTGTTTTTCATTCATTCAAAATGATAATATCAATGATGATGATGATGATGATGATACAGTCTATAGACGAAATTCATTTTATTTTCAATCCAATAACAACGATAATAATGAATATGAAGACAGAAAAAAGATTTTCGATGAGAAAAAAACGAAGAAAAAAATGTATAACAATAATATCATCTATCATATGTCATCATCATGGTTTCTATTATTATGGTTATTGATGATGATGAAAAATGGTCTAAAAACATTGAACATACAATCATCATCATCATCATCATCATCAATCAATTTAATATTAATATTCATAATAATGCAATCTATTATACTATCATCAACATCATTATTTAAATGTCATTTCTATTGTGATGCTTTTTCCATACAACAACAATCAAAGACAATGAATAAATTATCAATATTGAACAATAATAATACACTGCCATCATCATCATCATCATCATCAATAAGTTACAATAATGACAATCAATCGACAATAATTGAACAATTATTATTATTTCGTCATAAACGTGATGGTAAGTTACGATTATCATCGATTATCGATTATCGATCGATCCTATGTGTTTTTTTTTCATATTTTCATTCATGGAGAAACAGAAGAACCGGCACCAATATATGGTAAAGGAATTGCATTCTGGCTAGGTGAACATTGTGAAAATACCTGTAATCGTATATTATTCCATGTTTGGTGTAATAGTACCACACATCGTTGTGAATGTCTACAAGAATATCCTGTTAATGTTGAAAATAAATATTGTCTTAAAGGTTAGGCCTAATTACAATTAATTGCAATATTAATCTAATTAATCTAATTTCAATTGATTAGCTCTACAAATAAATGATCGCTGTGAATATAGTGAAGCGTGTCGTTATTTGAATCCCAATTCTGAATGTAATGAACAAGGATTCTGTAAATGTTTAAAAGGATATTTTGTCAAATATGATGATGAAAAAGAAAGTCGAATTTGTATGGCTTGTGAGTATTCCATTGAATGATGCAAAATGAAAAAAAAAAAAAAATTAATAATTTTTCAATCAATCAAACAAACATTTATAGATGATTCACCATTTTTCATCCGTATTGGTTCAACAACATTCGATTTTATCAATAAAATCGAATTCATCACATTATTCAGCCTTATCATAAGCTTCATATTGATTTTGATTCTATCCATGATGGTCATTAAATTGATGAAAAAGTAAGCAATACTTTTGTATTGAATATGTGTTTACCAAGTTTTACTATTGTTGGTTCTTAAAAAAAAACAGGAATAAAAAACTAGCCAAAAATGATCAACCATCTTTTTGTGATATGATACCACCACCACCTCCAGTTATAATGAATGCCCAACCTGATCGTTATAATAATCAACATTCACATCATCATCATCATCATCATCATCATCCATTTCATCATCATCAAACATCATCATTACAATCAACACCATCGCGTAGTCCATTTCATCAGGACTATAGCCTACAGGAAAAGACACCAATATCATCATATAATATACCACCATTACCATCTAATCTCAATGGTTATTATATTGTACTATTCTTTTGTTATAATTTCTTTTAATAAATTTTATCCACTGTATAGATTTTCGTCGCCAATCATTATCATCGTTGAGATCACAAAGTTCATTAAAAAGTCTTTCATCATTTCGAAGTCAACATTCGTATCGAGTGAATAATAATAATAATAATAACAATAATCATTCGAATCAACATCAACAACATCCAATGTCATCGTATCATCGTACTATTCACTGCCAACAACAATCAAAACTTAGACCACCATCACATCAGACTTCGTATCATGATCTACGATATACAAGGCAACCATTAATGGCATCCGGTTCATCACCATTGGACAGTCAAACTGATCAAAGTGGTTTTCAATTGTCCAATCATTTGCCAACAAATCCAATCACATCAACCAATACTATTGATCGATCACGTATCAAATGTGCTAATCATCGTTGTGGTACTGGATCTAAAGTTCGAAGTGTAAGTTTTATAAATTCATTATTATTATAAACAATGAAAAAATTTACTATCATTATTTGATTAAAAACAGGAAGTTTGTCTTGTTCACAATATGCCCGAAATGCTTCAACAACAACAACAACAAAACTGAATGATGATCAATACAATCTCTAATTGCTTGTTTCATTTTGTGCCTAATTAACACATGTTATTTATTAATCTATAATAATAATAATAAGCAATTTTAATTCTTACATTCATCCAATCAACAAACAACAAATATTCTGGTGTTTTTAAAAAATTCACAATCACACATCATTTCATATACAGACAGAAAAAAAATCAAAAAAAAAGAACAAATTTTTTTTTCTTTCACTTTCTCAAATTCTTTATATAGATTGTCGTTTCTATTAGTTGATCAATACAATTTTATTTTAATCAATCAATCAATTGATAATTGATAATCAAATAATCATTGACAAAAAAAAATAATGATGATTGTTTTTTATTTATTTATTAATAAAAAACACACACACACACATACAATTCAATCTTCAAAATTTCTTAAATATTTTCAAGACCAGGTCTTATCTGATGATATGGTTCATCATAAAGTTGCATCATATCAGTTTCGCTAATACATTTCCATCCATTTGAATTAATCGTATACACTCGTACAATGCCACCAGATCCACAATCACGATGTGTAGCTTGAAAAATGGAACGACGTCCCAAATCATAAGCTTCATCATCATTCATATCATGTCGATAGAATGTATCTAAAACACCATATGCAATAGTGGATCCGGAACCAACACTGAATAATTTGCCCGGTTGACGATTACCATCATTATCGACGTAAAAGATTTGTGGACCACGAACCTTGTCCCAGCCGCAAATCATTACACCCAAAGAAAGGCCCATTCTACAAAATGAATTGTATTTAAAATGACAATATAATTACACAATAATCATGTTATATAATTACCCTTTGTAACTGTACAAAATATTAGCCAATATTTTCGATGCAGCAGCAACTGAAATACGTTCCTTGTTACGTAATTCGAATAATCGACATTCTTTGGATAGAACACGTTGCCAATACATACAATCGGCAGCACCACCGGCCATTGTACCAAGAAGAAAATCATTGATTTTAATAATTTTCTTACATTCTTGAGTGGATATGTATTGACCACCGGTAGCCCGTGAATCGGCACATACAACCACACCACCTTTGTACACAAATGCCAATGTTGTTGTACCTTTGTTAAATTTCAAAGCAATTTTTCTAGCCGAATCTGAATATAGATTCATTGGATCTCGTGGTATGGACAGACAAATTTGATGATGATCTTCATCGATAACTTTTTCATAATTAGGCAATTGTAAACGTTTTCGATCAATACTAAATCGTTCGTTTGGATGTAATCCTAAATATGCTTCAAGAGCCATTTTTTTGTTGAAGACAATTAAAAGTTACAAATTAATATTCGCTTTATACAAAATACAAAATCAATTTAAATCTCACAAACTGCTGGGATGACTGAGCTAAAAAAATTTTTCTTTATTCTGAGACATTCATAGAATACGTGACACTCGATGCATGCGCTCGTAATATTTTTGGTGTTCAATTTTTCATTTTTATTTTTATTTTGGTGCGTTCCCAAAGATTTTTTTTTTAATTTGAACAAGCAATTATCATTATGACATTTCTTTATATTCTGATTAATTAATGGTCTTACTAATGAGCTCTCTCTTTCTTTCTCCTTGAAATGACAGTTACATTCGAATCAAAATGTTTATTGAAAAATTCCATATTTTATCGTTGATTTATATTGTGATTCATATAAATGGAATTGTTACCACCGAATTATCACCAAATCTTGATTTGACAAAAATTCGTTATCTATTCCAGAATGAAACCAATCTATTATCATCAAATCCAAAATGTAAAGAAGAATTACCAGCATTATGTGGTCATGATGAAAAGATCCTCAATAATAATGTTGAAATAATGAATTGTATTTTCGAACGTTCGGATGCTGAACAAAAATTATCCGAATCATGTCAACATGAAATATGGTCATTCAAGATGGCCGTAACCAAATTAGATCATTTCACCGATATAACAAAAACTGTATGTAAATCTTTGCTAAAACAAAATCACGATTGTCTGGAAGCAGCGAATGAAGATGCACTAAGTCCTGGTGCTAATATTTTGTCCTGTTTAATCGATCGAATTCAACCGGAAACAGAAGATCAATGTAAACTATATCTACAGCAAATGGAATTGATTATATTCAGTGATTATCGTTTGATCAATAAATTTACAAAAGCCTGTGAAGATAAAATACATGATTTGAAATGTGGTCGATTGGATTGGGATTCCAGTACTCATAGCCAGACAAATACGATACAATGTCTGCAAAAACATATTGATCAATTGCCTGAAAAATGTCAGAATGAAATCCTAAGAATATCCGAACTTCAGAGTAATGATTTTCATCTGGATAAACCATTGTATTTTGCCTGTCGTGAAGATCGTGAACGATTTTGCAAAACAATCGAATCAGGTAATGGTCGTGTTTACAAATGTCTAATGGCTAATGTTGATGAACCAGATCTGAGTGAAGAATGTAAAGATAAACTCATTCAACGTGAACAATTGATTGCTCGTGATTATAAAGTTAGTAAAAGTTTAGTTCAAGCCTGTCGTCATGACATTCGAATTCATCAATGTCGAGACAATGTCAAAGGTCGTAAAGAAGTTCGTTTGTCACAAATTTTACTGTGTTTAGAAAATGTCCATTCAAAAGGCTTGCCTTTATTGGCCGAATGTCAGGCCGAAATGTTATTGCATAGAAGATTTTTATTTGAAAATTATAAACTAACACCAGATCTAGTTGAAGCATGTCAAAATGATATACAAGAATTCTGTTCAAATGTAGAATTTGGAGCAAAAATTCTTCATTGTTTGATGAAATATGCAAAAGCTAAACGACGTCGAGGTGATGCTCATGTTCGAAGGAAAATATCTTCAAATTGTCAACGTGAAGTTGAACAATTATTGAAAGAAGTTAACATTGCCGAAGACTGGCGTGTTGATCCAGTGCTTCAAGAAACATGTCAATCTACTGTCGATAATTTATGTAAACATATTCGACCTGGAAACGGCAGAATACTGAGCTGTTTAGCCGAACACATTGATTCACCAGAAATGGCTGAAGAATGTCGTGAATCATTGAATCAGATGCAATATTTTGTGGTTCGTAATTTTGAACTGGATTCAGAAATTTATGAAGCATGCCATACGGATGCAGTAAAATATTGTCATGCTCATCAAAATTGGCATGAAGATGTGAGTGGAATGGATCCTGAACGTGGACCTACCGTAATGGCCTGTTTATATCGTTATGTTTATCAGATGGACACTACCAACAAAGACAATCAACCAATACAACTTCGAAAACAATGTGTTCATCATATTAAACGTGTAATGAAACAACGAGCATCATCGGTCGAATTATTGCCATTCATTGAAGTACCTTGTATGCAAGATTTAGCCAAATATTGTAGTTCAGTACAAGTTTTTGGTAAAGGCTATGAAATGTCATGTTTACAGGAAAACTATCAACAACTTGAATCACATTGTCGTAATGCAATCGGTAATTTTACAATAGCTCAAAGTTCAAATTTCGAACTTAATTATCCACTATTCAAATCTTGTCTGAGTATTGTGAAACAATTTTGTTCTTCGGAATATGAAAATGAAAATAATAATTTCGTTAATGATGATGACCATCATCTTTCTGTCATGCATTCGACGTCAAATCAAAATGAAGTGATTCAATGTTTGATTCAACATAAAAATCATCATCAAGTTAAATCCAATCAACAATGTCGTATGGCCATCGAACATTTTCAATTGATCAACAGTAAAGATTTTCGATTTGATCCAAAATTCAAACAAGCATGTAAAAATGATATTGAAAATAATTGTAATAATTTACGAACAAAATACGATATAATCAATTGTCTTAGTTGGTTGGTATATAATGATTCTAATAATAACGATGGTCAAGTTGACGATAGTAAACGAGTATCGAATCAATGTCGACAGATGTTACGTGAAGAATTATTGCAACTGAATGAAGATATTGGCCTTGATCCTGGTTTGATGGATGCTTGTCGCCATGATCGTGAAGAATTTTGTGCACACATTGAAGCCGGTGAATCTCATGTATTGGAATGTCTGAAATCGAATATTATTCGATTGAAACGTGCTTGTCAACGTCGTCTTTTCCGTAAACAATATATCGAACAGGTCGATAATTCAGTTGATTATTCATTGCTTTCAATGTGTAAAATTGCTATTGATAAATATTGCATCTTATCGGATCTACATGATGTCCTTTATTGTCTTCGTGATCATCGTAACGATCCGGGCATTGGTCATAATTGTCGTTCATTAGTTTTAAAACGTTTAGCACAACAAAATCGAGATTATCGATTGAATCCAAGACTGAAATCAAGTTGTAAAATGGAAATCAACAAATATTGTTCCACTATTATAATGAAAAGCAAACCAGATGAATTGTTGGATGGAAAAGTGATCGCCTGTTTGAAACAACAATATCTTCATAATACTTTGTCACAGAGTTGTGAAATTGAAATCATCAACATTATACGCGAAGTATCGATGAATATTGAATTGGATCCTCTTCTTTATCGAACTTGTCAACGTGAAATTCATCGAAAATGTGCCGATGAATCGGACATTCATGAATGTTTGAAGAATCGATTTTTGGCCAAACAAATTGAAGATATGGCATGCAAACATGAGATTGCTCGACTAATCAAAGAAACTGAAGCGGACATTGAATCGGATCCGCATTTATTTCAGGTTTGTTTGGCCGATTTAAAAACATTTTGTTCGGATGTGATACCTGGCCGTGGCCATCAGTTGAATTGTTTGGCCATCATTCATCGTAATTCACCACATCGTCTTAGTCCTGAATGTGATACATTATTACAGAAACGAATACAATTATTCGAATATGCTAGTGAAGAATATCCTATTGCTGATTCAGTTGTACAAGTGTTCCATATGGTGGCATCATCGCCCATACATAATTATCTTTATTTATTTCTATTAACAATCATTCTTTTCATATTTTTATTCGGATTATTCTGTGGCCGAATCTATCAGGCCGTACCTACTAGTGATAAAATCAAATAATAATAATAGTTTTCCATTACATTTATTATCTACTCTACATCTATATATGTTCTATTGTAATTGAATGTATCTTGTAAATAAGATGAACTCATTTCCAAAATTTATTTTTTTTCATTACAAATCACAATATTTTGGTTTCTCACGACAAAGACCACGAAGCAATTCACGTGCCTCTTGTACACCATTCTTTGCTGCAAATCGTAACAATTGTCGAACTTCACCTATATAAAAGTTACTCAAATTAAACAATTTTTTTCTTTTGATTTTCATCATCAAATTGTTTATTCTTTTACCTTGTTTAACATCGGTACGATATCCACTTAGATGACCAACAGCCAGATTATATGCCGAATGTGGATGGCCATGATCGGCAGATTTACGAAACCAATGAAATGCTTCTGCATGTGAACGATTACGGATCAATTTATGTCCCAGCACATGTTGAGCATGATGATCATCAACATGATGTGCATAGAATCGTGTTAAATAATAATGAAAATGTTCAAACCAAAAATATGTGTAAAAACAGAAAATAATTGTGGCCATTATCAATGACATTTGAATGATTATTGATCGCCAACTTTCCGATTGTTTTCGATTACCAATCGAATTGAACATCCATATTTGTTTTCCAATTGTCCATGATTCATCACGTTCATCCAATGGTAATAAAAATGTTGATTGATTGTTGTTGATTATCATCGGATGATGATGTGATTGATATTGAAGATTTTCTTCGTCTTAAACGACGTGGCATTTTTGACAGAAACAGAACAAAAAAAAACTGATCACATTCATACAATAGCAATCGAACAAGTAAAGAGAATTTTTATTATTATGTGTGTGTGTGTACATTTATGATTTGTTTGGTATATAAAAAAAATATTGTTTTATTAATGAATTTTTTTTTTTTTAATAGCCAACAACAAAAAATCTCATCATTATCAATTATTCATTCATTCATTTGAATTATGTATATGACAATCATTTTAGCAAATTAATTGAGAAACCAGTAAAAACGATTTAATAAGTTGTATTCCATATGATTTTACTTTTACAAAATTATTATTTTTCAAAGATCAGTTGTACAACCATTGTTTGTTGATGGTGGTGCTGCTGCTGCTGCTGTTGTTGTTGGTGGTGGTGATGAAGGCGAACAAGATACCATTGGATTTCCAGGCGATGATGGACTTTGTGATTGATTTTGTGATAAAGATGGTAAAGAATGATGAAATGATGATGGTGATCGACCATCAGTTGAATTCATTTCGTTCGATGTTATGGGTGAACTAAGATTTATTCCGCTAGTAGAATTGTTTGTTGTTTTCTGGATCAATGATGTTGATGTATTATTAGACAGTGGTTGCTGCTGTTGTTGTTGTTGTTGGGATTGTGTATAATTCTGTTGACGAATGGTGATCATTCCATTACGAGCACAAGCGGTTCGTAGAATTAAACTGGTCGCTTTCATTTGCCAATCACGACCTTTTTCAATTACAGTTTCGAATGTTGATAATCGTAGATCTGTATCTTTGGCATAAAGTATTTTGTTGTGCGAATCTATACGAGCCTGTATCATTCCTTCCAAAATTAGACGCATCAATTCATCTTCTAATGCAGTGACGCTAGTATTGAATGCCGATGCCATTCGATTCAAATTGGCCGATAAATATGGTGTAAAATATTGAATCAATGCACGACTTCGAATTAGATTGTACAATTGTTTCACATGCGGTGCCAGATAAATGTCAAGCAAAAAAGCATCTTTCAATTCGTCCAACAATTTCAAACAATCTGGATATTTTGATTCCAAAAATCTACTGATAGCTTCACGTAGTTGTGGTTCAAGTTCAAGAAATATACGAAAATCTGAATTATGTAAAACTTTTTTACGAAGTTCATCACGATCAAAACTAGCCAAAGCACAAAGACCACCATAGATGGCAACATTATTCGGTGAAAGTATATCATTCAATAATTTAAGATCATCAATATGTGCTTTCACAAATCGTTCAGCAGCTTGTTTATAATTTGTATTCACCAAATTTAATAGGCCAGCAATACAATTGATTTTCGATTTGTTTGTTTGATTTGAGCTGAATTCACCTGTTTCCGCTTTCTGTATATGTGAGCCAACATGAGTCCAATTTTGGAGATAAATATTCAATTTGATGACATTTAAAAAGATTGTGAATAGATGATGATCGCCCATACAATAATCACGTGAACGTGTATAGTATTTTAATGCATTGGTTAGATCACCACAAAGCAAATGATGAGAGCCAAGATCATCATGACCACGACGAATGCTTTCTTTAATCGAATTTGTTTTATAATTCTTAAGATCGGTTTCCAATTTCTCGAATATGATTTGCGATAATTTTGTTTGTTTTTCAATCCATCCATTATCTAATGGCTCGACATTAGCCTGTTCGCTTGGTTGACCATTTTGAGCTGCAACCAATTTGCCATGAATCTTCAGATACATTGATACATTAAATGTATGAGCTTTCACATATTTCATTGCTTGTTCAAGTGCATCAATTTGTAATGGTGGACAATGGTCAGCGATATACATCAAACGAATCAATTTTGAATGGCCCGAATATTGACTTGCATATGTTTCCACTTCGAATGGTGATGAATCGATTATATGAAAATTATTGTCCGAATTCGATAGATCACTTGCTTCATCAACGTCGACATCAACATCGATGGATGCATCCAATTGCATTGGTTCAATGTGATTCGGAAAAGACATTATCATACGATTTTTAAAGATTATTTAGCCAGATAGAATAAATGGTTGTGAAAAAGTGTCGATTAATTTTTAGAATTTACATAAATAACAAAATGACAATGACAACAATGCATAACAATGCGGTAACATCATTTATGAACGGTGTATTGTATTTTTATCTTTGAAAATTATCTTTGATGGATAGATAAATTTTATTTTATAGAAAATTAAAATTTTAATAAGTCAATTTTGTTTTATATTAATCCAAAAATTTAAATTCGAACAACATTGCAATTTCAACGAAATGTTGTTCACGTGAATCACATGATTATATATGCGGTAACAATGTTTTTTTTCGAACCACTACAACAGTGATTCTCAACCTTTTTTTTTGTTGTGGCACACTTTTAACGATTTCAAAATTTGGCGGCACATTGCATCACGGAATCAATGGTCAATCTAAAATTTGGCGGCACAATTTCAGAATTTTGTGTCACACAAAAGCGCCGCAGCACAGTGGTTGAGAATTACTGCATTACACCATTGAGTATTCTTTTTTTTTACACATGCGCATATTTTCACTACTACATTTCGTCATCATCCATGATTTGTGTGTGTTTTTTTTGTTTATTTCATATGATAACTTTATTGTATTTTCCAGAATTTTGATCATCAATTTTCATCAAAATGAACTTTTTATTTTTAAAATTTGGATCTAATCAAACGACATAGCCACCGGATATTATGTAGATTTTAATAAAATCAAACTTTTTTTTTATTAATGACAAAAATAAATGAATTTATATAAACAATAAATATAAGAAAACAAACTTAAAACATACAACACTTCATACAAACAAAAGACACCATGTCATGGTGTTAAATTCATAGTTCATTCAACATATTATGCAAAAAGCATTCACGTTGTTACAACAATGTGAATTTACACAAACTTGGATTAAACATTGGATCGATTGTCATGTTCAGTCGCAATATTGAACCACAAAGTGGTTTGTTTAATGGCACGCGTTTATTTGTAAATAGACGCAGCATTGAAGCTCGAATGTGGATCAATTAATGGTGAAGCACGATTTCCATGGTTTAGATGTCTATTAATAATATTTATATCACCAACCAAATGGTTGGTTGACTGGCCATTTCCACCACCAGTAGCAACAGCTGTCATCATTGAGGTAGGCGAATTATTGTTGCTTGGAATCAATAATGGAGAAGAATTGTTTGATGATGTTGATAAAAGTGATTTACCCATTGAATGATGAACATTGCTACCAGTATGATGAACCAACTGTGGCTGTGAGGCTGATGTCGATGTCGAAGCAATGCCAAAATGTAATTCGATTTCAGCCAATTCTCGTAGCTTTTCGCTATTTGTTGATAAACTGCTTTTCGTATGTTGTTGCTGCTGTAATCGGCTATTACAAATTTTTTTATGCTGCACAAATGAATGAAGATATGAGAAATGTTGTTTACATTTGCCACATTCAAAAAGATCATTTTCATCATCAACATGATCGCCCAATGAATATATCACTGTAATTTAACCCTTTGCACTCGGATGTCCCCGTAGAGGGGACATTGTAAGTTATAAAATAGAACTCGGATTTTTCTGTCCGAGTGCTAAGGGTTAAATCATATAACAATGATTAGTGAAAACTACTGAAATTTCGTTTATTTCAACTAACCTTGATGTTGGGTTTGAATTTGTAGCATGCAAGAGACGAGAAATAACTTGACACGTTCAGTGGTGAAAATCAACTAACTTTTATTATTATATTTCACAAGCTTAAATAAAGAATTATCAAAGCCCTTCATAAACAATGTTACAAAATAGAGGACACGCCTACAAATTGATGGCACTGAAGCCGTAGATGGTTCAACTAATGATCTGAATTGTACTTCTGAACCGGTGGATGCCGATCTTTGCAAATGATGATGATGATGATGGTTATGATGAAGATTTTGTTGATGATGATGAACTTGATGTGATGATTGAGCGGATTCTGTTGCTTGTATTATTTGTTGCTGTTGTTGTTGTCGTGTTTCATGTTGAATAATATGCTGTTGTAATTGATGATCACCTTATGGGTTCATCGCATGAAGACACTCAACATTGAATCGTCAACCGCTGTGGCTTTCTGCAATATCGTAAATGCTCCATTTTCTTTATTTTAAATGAAAAAAGTTATCAGGTATTTTAGGTGTAATCAGGTTAAATAACCGAAATAACTTACCAAACGATGAGTAGATCATAGATCATGGAAACAAAAACAGAAAAAATCATTCCAATAAATGCAGTCTTCAAGCAAGATTTCATCATCAAATACACACTCACACAGGCACACAAAATGAAAATCACGTGTGACACATGTATTATCACAATAATCAATTCGAAAAATTCGAATTCGAACTCTTTCTATGTTCTATTGAATGACTGCACCATCTATTGCAGGGGTGGCCAAAGTGCGCCCCCTGTTCAATAGAGCTCTGTGGGAAATGTGGCTCGCGAGCCGCAGATTGGCCACCCCTGATCTATTGGATTCAAAAGCTGCGGCAACGTGTGCTGAGCTAGAACAATAAAAAAAAGCTTTGTCAAAGCTACATACCACAGAATGCGTTTCTTTGGAAACGACTTCTACTTCTGAGCTGGACGAACTGTTCAGCGGCATTCAAAAGTTTTCCCGCATGCTCAGACACACACACTGAGTAGCTTATACTAAATAGTTATGTTTGTACTGAAAATAACTAAGAATGTCCAGCTCGGCTTCCCCGCATCAAATGCCAAGTTAATACACAGTACCAGTACACAGTGCAAGCACTTGGCGAGTGTAAAACTCGCAGTTACTCACAAACGTTAGCCTCATAGAAGAGTAGAAGAAGTAGAAGATATAGATAAAAGTATTTTCAAGTTCAATTGGAATTTCATTCAATATAAATTTCATAAATTTTTTTTCATCTGACAATTGTATACAATTGAATTGTTTTAAATCATGCCGATTTTAAACCTTGGAGATGATGATGGACCAAAATTTGTTGGCATCAAATTCTGTCAAGAATGTAACAACATGCTGTATCCGAAAGAGGATAAGGATTCTCGTGTTTTACTTTATGCCTGTCGTAATTGCGATTTTAAACAAATGGCCGAAAATAGTTGTGTATACGTGAATCGTATTATGCACGAAATTGAGTAAGAAATTTCGATTAAAAAATTCAATTTCATATGCTTCTATTGATTTTTTTTCCTTAACTAGTGAATTGAGCCGAATCGTTCCCGATGTTATACACGATCCAACATTACCACGAACCAAAGAACATCCATGTCCAAGTTGTGGCCATAAAGAAGCAGTATTTTTTCAAGGACAATCACGCAGAGCTGAAGATGATATGCGATTATATTATGTTTGTACTGAACCTAAATGTACACATAAATGGACTGAATAATGTTTGAATTACCAAAATGATGCAAAAATCCTCAATTTTATTTGTTAAAAAAAAATCTAGACAATGAAAATTTTTACCACAAATTTGTATTATTTTATCATATAGCTCAATATTGCCTGTATGGATATTGTTGTTGTGACTGATTGTAATTAAATCCAGGAGCAGGTGCTGATTGATTCATTGAAGCGATCGGAACTGAATTCATATTCATGAATCCAACCGGTTGTGTTGCATTATTTGCTATTGTAGATGGAGGCTGAACTAAATTCGATTCGGTAACAGTGCCATATGGACTAGGCATAGAAGTTGTCGATGATGGTGGGTAACCTGTATTGTCATTTGACGGGATGACTTGGTTCGATTGAACACCAACTGGTTGTGATGTATAGGTTAATGGATTATATTGATTCATGGGTTGGGAAGGATAGTTATAATTTTGTGGCATTGCTGGCTGTTGAATTGATGACCCGTATGCATTTGAAGTGTTTCCATAGGATGGATATTGTTGCGGTTGTTGATAAGCCGGTGCCATCGAAGCATTATTATTATAATTTCCATATGAATTGACAGCTCCTTGCGGATAATTCGGATAAGTTGGCTGATTTACGGCTGGCTGGACCGGCTGTGGATATCTATAACGTTTACTAGTTAGGTGCTGTATTAGCGGCCTGATTTATTTGTTCAACAGAAAACATTGGTGGATCATTCCATGATTTATCCTGACGTCTTTGGTCTATCAAAACAAAAACATTTAATAGATGTATATCAATCAATACTTATTACCATTATAATCCATGATGATTGTCAAATTTTTAAACAAACAAACAAATCGAAATCAAAACAGGAAGAAATAATAACAAATGATGAAATCGAACGTACTCGATATATGATGAAAATAAAGATATTATTATTCAACTTTGATTGATTGATATTTATGCCGACGCGTATGTTTACATTTTCGGAAAGTTTATTTTGATTGAATAAAAATGAAAAAAATTCTTCCGGGAACTGTACCGGGTTCGTTTCTGAATTAAAAAAAAAAAATTTTCTGAAGCATATCTCACACAAAAATACGCTCTATATATAATTGTTATTATCACATTCAAGGCAAAGAGAAAAAAATAGACATAAAATACAAGAAAAAAAACACCACCGACAATATATCATCATCATCATCAAATATGTCAAATTCGTTCGTTTTCTTTTGTGTGTTTATCTCAATTTAAAAACAAACAAACAGAAAATTTTCCAGAGCGAAAAATTTCAATTATTTTTTGTACAGATTTTTTTGTTTGAAGAAAAAATTAAAGGCAAGGAACAAATGACGAAAAAAATTAGAGGAAGAAGAAATGATGTACAAATGAAAAGGGAAAAAAAAAAAAGGTTAAAGATTTCTTGATTCTATATATGATAGGCAAAAAAAAAAATAAATAAATTTTGTCCATTTTGAAGGTTTTTTTTGGCTTAGAGTTGAATTGAGATTTAAACAATATATATCTCGACTTGTAGTGTATCACTCATATGTTTTTTTTTTTGTTAATGTTTGTTTACGGATTCATATCGACCGTTTGAAACTTTCCTTTTGAAAAAACACAAACAAAGTTTTGGATGCATCAGGTTAGCTAGAACGAATGAATGGTTGTACAAAATGTGGCTAATCAAGCAGAAAATTGATGCGATCGATGATGTTTTCGGCGTGCAAATCTTTTTGGCCAAGGAAGTGGCCATTCAAAAATTCTTTGTACTTGATTCACTCTATGATGATCATCATTTTTCATATGATGATGATGTTTAGAATGGTTATAATGATTTGGTAAAGATTGTGAATGATGATTTGGTATGACACGGATATTTTCAAGATAGACAAATATTGGCCACCACCAAACACGATTCAAATGATTTGAAGAAGATTTCAACTAAAGAAAAAAGGGAAAAAATATAACATTTAATTTGAAAAGATGAAACGCGATAAGCCGAGTATCATTGAAATGCTTACATTTATGGCACTGAAATAACACAATGTATGATAGATCCAGAATATTCTTGTTGTCACAAAATAGGCAATAATTATATCGATGAAATAATGTCCACGTGCGATTAATATACATAATATACTTGTTAAAGTCATTATTATCTGTATAATATCAACACATCTCCATGATAATGTTCGACGACGTGAAGGTAACAGATATTCTTGTTGTATCAAATAGGCTATTTGTAATTGTCATGTAATTAATTATTGTAAATAAACAAAGAAAAGACTTACTCAAAACTAATATCACTGTATGGCCAGAGAAAATGTAATCACCACAGAATGTATGATGGCCATTAATTGAAAGACCCATACCGAGACTCATGTAGAATACACGTGAAACGATAATTTCGATGAATTGTAACGAAGTTATGTTCTCGTATTGAGATGAATTTTTTAGCTATTTTCGATAATATAAATTAATTACAATTCATTGACCAAAAAATTAATTACCTGTGGTGAGCAATAATAATTTTTACTGGCCAACGGTAGCTGGGTAGAGGCCAGACAAAGAGCACGAAAAAAATAAATGATACCCATAATGATACAAATTCTCCGTAATATTGTTGATCTGTGTTCATTTAATTCAAAATGGGTAGAAGAATGAATTATGATCAAAGTTGAAAATTTTCAACAAACCTATGTTTATGAAAGAATAGCAAAACACCAATACAGAAACTTTGTATAACAATGACATATTCGGCTATATCAAGAAAATGTCTATGATCAGGTAGAACATCAAAAGCTATATCAGGAAGATGTGGTTCTTGCATCGGTATTCGTTCATGTATCACTGAAATGACCAATAAATTGAGAATCATATTGAGCGATACAAATACAAGTGAAAGAAGATTTAAAAGTATAATATTTTTCAATGATTGTGTCCTTATCACCATATAGTTTTGATTAGGATGTAGATAATGATCTGAACTGGACATTAACAGAGAACTAGATTCTTCTTCAATAGATGAATGTAAAGAATCACCTTCCGGATTATGACTACTATTACTACTATGATGAATGAGACCATTATGATTTCGATGATGTGGTGATGATGATGATGATGAATCCATGGTTAAATGAACCGATGATGATTGACCATCATTTTGACGGTGATGATCTTTATTATTATTATCATGTATAATTACGGTTGTTTTATTAGCATTATACGTTTCATGCATTGGTGATATTGTCGTCGATGATGAAGTTGATGACAATAATGGTTCGATTTCGCCAATTTGTGCTTGTTTATCGGACATTTTGGATGAAACTGATTTTCCACCAGATACACCAACACCACCACCACCACCGCCGCTAGTGGTAATACCACCACTAACAGTGCCATCATTTGAAGACATCATCATAATTGTTTGCTCAATAATCGGATGATTTAAATTATGATTTGGCGGTGAAATAAATGATTGTTGAGCGATGGCAATAAAGTTATTGCTTTTCAATTGATGATTATGATTATTTGCAAGGGTGTTGTTGTTGTTGTTGATGTTGTTCGTGTTGTTATTATTGATCGATACATTCGAATTGATGTGTTTATTATTATTATTATTATGATGATGATGATATTGATGATGGCGATTGGTGGACAATAATGATCCTGACGGCGACGACGACGACGACGATGTTGATGTTGATGATTGCAATGTCCGCAATCTTGGCGTCGTGGTGGCAGTCGATGTATTAGTACTATAATTCATCTATCATTAAAAAAAATTTTTTTTTCATATACGACGGCAACAATAGTGTATAGTAATAATAATTGAAGTATATAAAAACAACAAGTATTAATCATACAAAAATTCGATATTTTTTTTTTTTTTCGTTTTTCAAAAACAAAACCAAAAAAAAAAAATGAAAAATGAAAAAAATAAGGTCCAATTGTTGGACTGGTTTTGTATTGCTACAGTCTTTTTTCTTTAATTGTATTGTCAATGGTTGTTGATGTCATTATCATTTTTTTTCACAATGAAAAAAAAACACTTTTTCAATGATAAAATAAAGCACAATTTTTTGTGACACTAGATAAAAATATCATTATCATCATCATCATGGATTTCTTCTTCTTTTTTTTGGATGATTAGATTAGATGATTTTTTTTCGCATCAATATTTACAACGATGTAATAAATGTGAAATTGATTTTTTTTCTTTTTGGTTTCGATGAATGATCGATGAATATGTGATTTGATTAAGTTCTATAAAAATTTTTTTCATGAATATAATTTTTCGAATGTTTGTAGTATTCGAATTTATTGATTCGAGATTTTTTTGTATTCCATTATAGTGAGTATTTTTTTTTTTACATATTCAATCACCACTTATCACCATCACCATCACATTATCATTGAAAAAAAATGGTTTTATGACTTTTTTTTCTGGTTGATATTGAATAGAAATAATCGGTTGGTTGGGTGATAAGTGATAATCTGGATTATCCAAAAGTTGATCGTGTGATGATGATGGTGATGATTTCATGTATTATTGTTTTTTTTAGGCGTTTCTAAATTAATCAATTTTGATGATGATGATGATTACTGATGAAATGGCATTATTTTTGTTGATCATCATCATATCATATTCGTTGTTGTTGTTGTTGTTGTTGTTGTTACAGAGCAGTTAGACAAGAGCAATATATATAAATTCTATATGTCAAAAAAACGACAATCAAATATAAATAATAATTATAAATGAAACAGAATAGTATACTTACTAAATTGATTTTTTTTTGTTTACTTCAAGAATTTAACAACAAACAATCGAGTATATATGGTAATGATCGTGAATTCTCCATTAAAACATCATCATCCGACACACAGATACAGATACAGGGATGGAGAGAGATGAATATGAGGAAAAAAAACAGAAAAAATTGTTTATTTTAGTTATAGGTAAATATAAATTGTGCGTGTGTGTGTGTGTGTATGACGTTGGTGGTAAATAAAGCATCCTGCATTGAAATACAGTGTGTGTGTGTGTGTTGTGTGTATGCAAAAAAAAAAATGCAGACCGAGTATTCACTATTCATCAATGTCGTTATTATTCCCGATGAATTTGATTCAATGAATCAAAAAAAAAAAAAAATTTTTTTTAATCCAAAATAAAGCTGTTAATGTGAAAATGTGCAACATTTATCGAATTAACACAGAATCATTTTTGTCATTATAATTGTGTACACACATGAAATGAAATGAAATCAAATCATCATCATCATGATTGGCAGACGACAATAGTGATGACGGCAATGATAATAATTAAAATTCGAAAAAAAAAAAAACGGGAAAAATTCATTTCACATCTTTCAAACTGATTGTTGTTTCATCATCATCATCATTGATTTTATTTTGATCATATATGACATATGAAAAAACGAAAAAATTAACAAAGACAAATTGATGATGATCATCATCATGATGGATGACTCATTCGAACATCCGGACTTGAAACAAGATAATTTATTTTGAAGCAATTCAATCAACGACAACAACAACAACAGCAGCAGCAGAAAAAAACGTTTGAGAACCTGTTATTTGCAAAAAAATACAGTAACAGAGTTGTCAATTATATCAACCCATTCATTCATTTACATTCAAATGATATGATAATGATTAATACGTGTAAGAATTATTACTAAAATTAATCTTTTCTTTCTTTTTTTTGTTGTCTTAAAAGATAATAATAATATAAATGGTAATATGACGACAATGACGACAACAACAAACCAGGTCAATGTTGGTAGTAGTAAGTAAATTTACATCCAAAGATCAAATGAACAAATGATCATAATCAACACACACATTCATTTTCATTATATTCAATTATATATTCGTTTCAAGGATTTCTTAACCAAAAAAACCACCAACTTTTTTCTCTCTTTATTTGTAAAATCACACACAATTTGAGTTTGACGTAATTGTATATATAAAATGGTTGGTTTGAAACGCCTAATAATAAGATTGTGATGATGAACAATTTTATTATTGCAATACAACAAAATAACTGCCATATCATCATGATAATCGTACATTGTCATATGTGGAATTTGACCCCATAATTTTAATTTATTCATCAATGATTATTGATCATCAATTATTGATTTTTGTTCAACGAAAACAAAACAAAACAAAACAAACAAACAAAATATTTTTTAAAAAAATCAATGACCCAGTCAAAAGTAGTAGAAAAAAAAATTCCATTATCAGGTCGTCAGTGTGAATGCACGATGAAGAAAAAAAAATGATGAACATCATAATTTCATCTGTGTCATAGTAAACCGGACAAAAATGATAATTACATGATGATGATGATGATGATCAACGATGATAATTTAGATTTTGACATAATTTTTTGCATTCTGTGCTGGTTCAGTATGTCGACGATCGGATGAACGTATGTTCGATGTTATGGTGGCATTGTTTGATGATAATCTATGGCAAGATTCCTGATGATGACAATGTTGACACCAACTCAAAAACTTGTCCATTTGAATCGACAACATCCATTCATTTCATCATCATTTCTATTCGATCGACGATTCAATAATGGATGTGTTTCATCGGATCCATTATTGAATGAAGATGACACATTATTATTATTCATTGGTCGATGACGTTTCATCATCATATATTTCAATACCAAAACAATCATTATGAATAGAATTGAACTGGCCACAGCGATTATAATCCAATCACCGATCAATGGAAACAAACGATTCGATATTAATTGTGAGATTTCAATGAATTCAAAATGATATTCCACACCTAATCGATATAGAACATTTTCCGGTACAATCAATACTTGTTGTTTTTGTTCGGTAAACAAATGTAATGATGTACCATTTCCGTATCCTACATTAAAATGTGGCCATAGCATTGAACTATTTGGACAGATTTGTTCACTTAAATCAATTCGTCGTAATGTTTCATTAACGGTATGTAAACAAAGAAATCGATCTATATTATCTTGATTGATCAATACTTTAATTGATGTTCCATTTTTTGTTTGAATCAATCTCAATTCTGTTCCAGGATCAATCGAAGATATGGGTAGAATTGATTCGTTTGGATTGATTGTCTGTATATCTGTTCGGATATGATTGATGGATGGTTGAAATCGTACAATACTAATGGTGGTTTCATTCAATGGTGCCATGAATACAAAAATCAAATCACCTAAATCATTTAGCCATATTGCACCGGTAACATGATCATTGATTATAATTGAACGAAAATCTTCATTCCAAAATAGTGCCGGATATCTATTCTGTAATAACAATGGTTTTGTAGCCAAATTCATTAAATCTTCTGTTTGTTTTGATTCGAATACATATAAATTTTTTGTCCATAATAATTTCCTATCATATTGTGGTAATTGTCCTACTAATAACATATTTTGTGGTTCACCAATGACAATCGAATCATACAGTTCATTCTGCAATAAAAAAAATTTTTGATTTTCAGATAAATTTCGTTGTCACACATAATATATAGCTATATAACTTACATTCAATTTATTTCGTTCAATATCATTCGGTATCCAAATGAACAGTACATAACAAATCAATGAAATCAATGAAAAAATCAATAGATAAACTGTTGAATTATAAATATAATAATAATTATGATTATGATGATGATTAGATATATATCAACCATAATGAAAAAAAATAAACAAACAAACAAACAAAACTTACAGATTAGTACCAAAACGGAAATGAATATTAGCCAACAAAATTTAGAAATATCAGCACTAGATTGACGATCATGAACATCGGTTACAATTAATCGTGGCCGATTGTTGCCATATTGATATGAATCATGTTTATCAACACTAAAATTAGGATTATAACGGCCAATATGATTCGGATGAAGATGTTGTTGATGTTGATGTTGATGAATTTTTCGTTGAAGACTCTTTTCTCGTAAACTATTCTCCGTACTTGAAATGATCGATTGAGATAATAATAATGAAGACATCGTTTTTGATTTCTATTGAAAAACAGTACCGTTGTTGAACCGATGTTGTCAGAATGAATTGTCGTTGATCAATGAAAATCGTTATATGATTGACGAGAAAATTTATACCATCAACAATGGCTAAAATCGAATTCGATGAACCGAATTAAAAAAAAAAAAAATGTGAAGCCAATACTACTATACTGAACTTGGTTTCATATCGGCTACTTGTTGCACGCATAAATACTTTTCTTCTAAATGATTTATTGATTAAATCTTATCGTTCATTATAATCATCATCATTTTATATATGGATCAAATTCTTCATTTATACTGTTGATCATTATCGATGATCAATATATATATTTTTTCTCTCTCATTTCAATGGCAATAAGATGATTGATATACGAAGGTTGTTTCAGAAAAAAATTTTTTCTACACTCTTGAAATTTTGATTTTTTTTCAACCAAATTAATAAAAAAAAATCTTAGCCGATTATCATTAGGTAGTGCCACGGGCAATATCCACAATTCGATGACATTCATTCATATAGTCTCAGGCCAATATCTGGTCAATGTGTGTGTGTGTGTGGTTTAAAGCTTCAATCAACGTAACGTGTCAAGTTTATAATTTTAGTCAAAATGGTAAAATATAGTCATTGTCATCAATCATTCAATCATCATCACAATTAACTATGACTGATTAACATTTGAATTTATAAAAATTATACGATAGAATCGAATAGATTCGTTCATCGTTTTTTTACTGCACAAAAAAATCGTTCGAAACTATAGATGTCCGTACTGGTCATGATTTATTTTTTTTGTGATAATCGATTTTGTGTTTGAAAAAAACAACAACAGATATTAAATGCACTTTTTATTGTAAGAAACAAATATATTGACTAGAAATGATCATGGACTGTTTCTGTAGAAACAAATTTCAAATTACATGCGGAATGAAATGTTTGTTGGAATGTTGTTTGTAATAATAATAATAATAATAATAATGATCAATTGATTTGAAAATTGATTGATTTTTGATTATAAATAAATGCTTAAATAAATTTTTGCATTCAACAAAAAAAAAGTTTGGTATATTAAAAAAATTTGAGATTTTCCACTATTTATTGATCACAGTGAATGTCATCTTGATGATGAGATCATTCCAAAAAAAAAAAACTACCGGCTCGATGGTGATAAATCGGATTTTGAACGATTATTATTATTGCCCACCATTGGATATAATAAAACTTTGGCTCTCATCATTGAAAGATTTGGCAATTCATTAAGAATTTGTAATGCTTCAGCGCTTAAAACTTGTTCATTCATTCGATTCGTTGTTGTTGTCGATTTGTTGGAATGTATCGATGGCGCTGAACGATTATAACGATCATCACCTGTTTGTTTATTTTCTACAGATTTGTCCGGTACATTATTGGCCATTGTTGAGGATGATTCATTGTCGATTCGTAGAAATTCTAGTTTAAAAAATGAAATTTAAAATAATTCAATAATATCAAACTGATCAAATAAAACTACTGACCATCGAATTCGGCAATGAGATCATGATGATGGCCCATTTTATTATTATCATCATCACCATCATCATTTTTATTATTAATATTCGAAACGTTACTGTTTTTAATGGCGTATTTGGTTTCGAAAAAATCTAAATCTTGAGCTAGATGATTATTGAACACTGAATGATTAGTTGTAGTTTTTGTTGTTGTTGCGGTCGTTGTTGTTGATGTTGTTGTTGTTGCGGTCGTATGTGTCGCATGATCGGACGACCACGTGAACGGTGATGATGATGATGATGATTCGCCTTTTGATTCTATTTTTGTTGATTTAATTAGATTTCTATTCGTAGAGAATACATTCATCGGCATTTTATTACATTCATCATCGGCCATGTTGATAGAATCATCTTCAGTTGATATTATCGTTGTCGTTGTTGAATGATCATACATTGTTGGCTGTAAAATTTTATTATAACTTGTTGTTGTTGTTGTTGGAAAAATATCCGATGGAATCTAAAATTCAATATAATTATCAATGTGAATAACTATATAGAGATGAAGAATACTACTTACCACATTACGTGAATCAATTTTCAGCGCTTCAACCAGATGTTTAAACGAAGATGATTGTTTCCATTTAGTAAAAGTGAAATTTAATTTCAAATCTAATTGTTGTAGATTATTCCATAAATCACGAGCTTTTTGATCACAAATATGTTCATTGAAAAAATCATTCGATATCCGTACTGTTTCATCATCGGCAATCGAATTAATTTTGTTGCAATGAAAAGCATCTTTAATCAATTGCCTGTGATCATTGAAATTTTTTACCACTTTCGTTGTTTGTTCAACATTAACGATTGGTTCGATTGAAACATTGCAAGTAAAATCGGCAAAATCATCGAAATCATCATCATCATCATCATTGAATTTCATTTCTTTTTCAGGATTTAATTCGGAAAAATTGGCAAAATTCTTTTCATCCGGAATGAAAGATTCAAAATCGGCAAAATCATCATCTTGATTTTGATCAATTTGATTATTTTGAGAATCAAACTCATCAGATGTTTGGAAATCATTAAAATTGTCATCATCATTATCTTTTGTATTTGCTGGATTCGAATCGGATGATTCCATCTCATTTTCATTCATCACATCAATATGGTCACAGATAATTGATGGTGATTGTACATTTTCATCGATTCGATTCACTAGATCTTCATTCTTATCCACATCTTTGATATGAAAACCATTTAGATGGTTGAAAACAGCTGTTTTGATTTTTGTTGTTGTGATTTTAGTTTCACATTCACTATTGTCGTATCGATTTGATCATTTGTTTCGATTTCCAAAGTTGAATGACCATTTTCATCATTATGATGATGATGATGATTATCATCATCAAATTCTTGACCATTATTATTATTATCATTATTTTTCGTCGACATTGTTTCCGTTGTTTGATTATCGAATATGACCATAATTTAACAGATCGATTAACATTAAATTGAATCAATCAATTATTATTGTGATTGTTGTTTCATGGAGAACCTAAATACAAAAAAGAATTCTGTTCAATTTGATTGTTAATGGAGACAAAAATTTTTTATTAAATTTTTTTTTTACCTGGAAAAAAAATGATTGTTGTTGCTATTCGTAGTGTGTGTGTGTGTGTATTCAGGTTAAAATACATCATCATCATCCAATGATGATGATTTTAATGAGTAGTGGCAGTGTCATACATACCACACACACACACACACATATAGCATTTGATGGAAGATGCGCCTTTTTCTTTCTTTAAAAGCTGTGGTATGTCTATATTTTTTATATATAAAATAATAAAATGAGCCCACGCCTACACACAATTGATCGAAATTGAAAAATTTTTTTTTTTTATTACAGAATTCCAAATCAAATCATCATCATCATCATCATATATATCAAAGTTATATATTATTCGAGAAAAAAATTTTTTTTATTCGAATTGAAAAAAAACAAATTGTTTTCGTATACGATATATATCAAACGAGCGAATGCACAAATTATAGATATAAAAAAAAATATTGATGATGATGATGATGAAAAAAAAACAAACAAAATACAGATCAAATTTGTATTTGTAGAACTATAGAAATATTATTCTGATGATGATGATGATGATGGTAAATGGTAAAAATGTTATGCAACAAAATAATACACATATATAATAGTGGGGTAGTAGACGAATCAATCAATGTTTTGGATCTTTGGTATTATAATCATCATCATCATCAATCAATTGTGTTTATAATTTCAATTTATTCTTAATATCAATACTAATACTGTCATTGCCAAATATTAATCGTAAACGTTTTGCTTGACTTAATTTTTGTTCCAAATTTATTTGCTGCTGTTGTTCGGTTTCCGTTCTAGGTAATAATAATGAATTTGATGATGATGATGATGATGAACAATGTCTTGATGATTTCTTTTTCTTTTTTTTCTTTTTAATCATATTTGTCGAACGGTAATAATCGCATTTTGTATTTTTGATAACATCAGCCGATTGGCCATTATTTAATATCGATGTTTGTTGTTGTTGTTGTTGTTGTTGAACATGTTTGTTGCTCGTATCTAATAAAAATCATTATCATCGATTTTAATCGATTTTGATCCAATATTATTGTTTATTTCTTGATGTTGTTGTTGTTGTTGTTGTGATTGTGGTTGATTACAAGAACTTGAAATGATCAATTTCTGATTGGCTTGTGTAATAGTTGGTGATTGTTCAATCTTGGCCATTGTTGTTGATGTTGATGTTTGGGATAATTTTGTTCCAGTGGTGGCCAACATTGAAGTCGAAGATGGTAATAATAGTGAATGAGTATTCGATTTGGTTGTTACAATATCACAATTAAAATTATTCATAACATTATCTTTTCGTTGATTGACTCTAATGGTTAATTTGATCGATTTTCGTGATGATATCAAAACATTCTGAGGGCATGGATTCGATAATAATGATTCGACATTGGTGGTGGTGGTGGTGGTTGTTGTTGTTGATGATGATGATGATGATGATGGCAAAGATGTCAATGTAGATGGTGATGGTTCTAAAATTTTCTTATCAACTGAATCGACATTTTTATCAACTTTATCAATCAATGATGATGATGATGATGATACAGATGTGGCCAACGGTTTATTACAACATTCAATTTGGTTATCTTCTTTTTGATTTATATCAACCGAAACATTGGCCAATGAATTAATACGACTAGAACGTCTTAATGTAGTGTTATTATTGATATTGATTGACGTCGATTCATTATTGATTGCAGGCAATACTTTTGTTATCTTTGGTTTGGTTGTTGGCTGTTTTATTTTCGTTGATGATTCTGTAGATTGTCGATTCAATGTTGTTGTTTTACGTGTCGATGATGATGGTTGATCCTTTGTCGTAGTTTTTGAATTTTTAATACGATTATTATTAGTGTTTATTATAGTTGAATTATTATTGTCTGACGATGATATGATCAAATTGGTCGAACGAGTTGATCGATTTGATGACCGTTGAGATCTAGTATTCGGAATCGATGTTGTCATCATATCATGAATGGCAGGTTTTGTTTTCATTATAATTGGATTTTTTGAACGATTTCTTGATTTACTCGCTTGTGTTGGTGTTGTAGGCCTTTTACGTTTCCGACGATTCGATGCGGATGATTTTTGTTCAACCACAATAATCGATTTTGATGATGATGAATTTTTTTTCAATAAATCACAACCATTATCGCTATTATGGTTGTTATTATCATTATCACTATTCTGTTCATATAATTGATCAGCAATGGATGTATTTCGTATATCAGGTTGATCATCAATTGATCGATTATCATCATCATCATCGTCATCATCCATATTTACTGGTGAATTCGAGTCAGAATTTTTCATTGAACAACAATCATCATCAGTCGAGGATTTACGATTTTTATGTTCCTAAAACAAACGAATAAAAAAAATAAGTTAAATTTTTTTCGTTCATCAATAGGACCAGGAGAATTAGAAAAAACAAAAGAAAAGAGGGAATGAAAAATGAATGAATCAATTTTTATTTCAGAATAAATCAAGAAATAAGAATTTGTACAACAACAACAACAACAAAAGTAAAATGAAATTCAAAAAGAAAATAGAAATAAAAAAAAAGAAATCATATCCATATGTTTGCCATATATATAATTGTAATAGATTGGATTTGAATTCTCAATGACCATAGGTGATTCATATGTGTTTGGGATGTGTATGGAAAACGAAAAGAATTTCTTGACTAACCTGATTACGCATCTGTCTTCGTAGACGATTATCCGTTTCACGTAATGAATAACTTTGTTGTCCAGTCATCATCGGTGGTTTTACAGATTGTTGTCCAGTGGATAAATTAGTGGTTGATGAAATGGAATTATTACTTGAATGATCGCTTGAACTTAATTTATTTGCATAACGACCGGCACCACGACGTTCACATGTTTCACATTCACAATAACAATTATTATCACCGAAAAAATCATCACCATAATAGCAGGTAAGTTCTTCACCTTCTTCAATTGGTCTAAGAACTTTTACACAAGCTGTAGAGCGCCCTGTGCTAACAAATTTACAATTTGGACGACAATCATGATTGATATATGCGCCAGCACCTAACCATAATTGCGCACAATTCTTGCGACATGAATACATGACTGAAAAATCATTTAGACCAGGTTTTAGAAGCTCTTGTTCTTCTTTCGAACTTAATTCCCCGATACAACCGACCAGATGTTCAATTTTATCATTTTTTCGCCATTTCTGTGTAGCACATAATTTGGCACCACATTTTCCTTCCAATGAATATCGATAACATGGACGTATCTCATAACCAGCTTGTTTATCAAACATTCTAAGAAAATTCACGATATGTTGCCGTATAATTTTCTGCATTCGTATACTTTTTGTTGCATATCTTTACGGATAACAAACAATTGTCATAAATAATGATAATTAGTGGATATCGAAATGAACTTACAATGAATGTGCCCATTCACCAGCGAATATTTCCTTCAATGTTTGTTCGTAATTTTGATGTTCTTTAAATTTCATAATTATCTTTTTCAATTGATCTTTTGGTACTTTTGGTTGTCGAAATCTGAAAAAAATAAATGAATCAATCAATCAATCAGTTATGATCGACAACAGTACCTTGTATTCATTTTATGTGTGGTAAAACCAAGATATTGATCAACGACCAATGCTGTGGCAATATCATCCGCTTCACATAATTCGGCCGGTGTCATCGGAATCTGATTGTTCACATTGAACAAAGATTTATTCTGATTCTGTTGTTGTTGTGATATACGCATTGTTTCAATTAGATCAATTAAATTCGTTCACTATACAGAATTCAATTATGATCACAAAATGGACAATCAAACAGAATGGAAACAATATTCTTCGATATATATTACACCAACATCAAAAATAATTCTAATGAAGATAATGGAATAAAACTGGTGTGTAGATTTCAAATTTGAATACGACAAAGTTTTTCATCATCATCATCATTATTTTATTATTATTGTCGATTGACAAACATTGACGATTATTTGACATTTATCCATTGATGATCCCCATTGATATTGAAAAGCGAAAATTTCATCCAAATCGATCCAAATTAATCAATAACAACAGAAAATCTAGATTTGTAGAATGTTCTTTATTGCTGTTGTCGTTGCCGTTTTACATTCAGAATTCAATATTATTAGACGAAAAAAGAATAGAATATAGTAGAGAGAGAGAGAGTTATAGCGACAAACATTAGTGTGGGGGTGAGGAGAATAAAATTAAAAAAAAATATATTCGAAAAGCAGTGGCAAACAGGATAGAAAGATCACAGACGAGACAACACACACACACACAACAGTGCACTGTTTACACATGACATGAGTCGGTCTACCACAAAAATAACAACAACAACAACAACTTTGATCTTGTTCATAGAGTACATTACATGCAACAATTTCCACCCAAACAGCTAATTTTTTTTTTTGTTTGCATCAACATACAGCTGACAAACGCTGTTTTTTTTGTTGTTGTTCATTTTTCATCTTGACAAACGTCATTTGAATTTAATTATTTTCATCATCATCACCACCACCACCACCATTGAATTTGACATCTGTTTTATTGATTATATATGAATCATTGAATCGATCATCAATCGTAAATCAATAATGGTTTGTATGAATTTAAATCGAACATTTATTTACCAACAAAAACGCCCTATATATATATTTTTTTTATCGATAGAGTTTTCTTGGATTTCGACAATCGGCTGAAATCGACATATTATTGGATGGAGCCGAAAGTCGTAAAATGGCCGATATTAAAACCGAGGATGGTAAAAAAGAACGATATTATCTTTATTATGATGGTGAAACTGTTTCGGGAAAGGTGAATATTAATCTGAAAAAACCGGGACAAAAATTAGAACATCAAGGCATCAAAGTGGAATTTATTGGTGAAATTGAATTATATCAAGATCGTAGTAATCATCATGAATTCACTAGTTTGGTCAAAGATCTGGCACGGCCATCAGAAATGCTTCAGAATACAAGCTATTCATTTGAATTTGCAAATGTTGAAAAACCGTATGAATCATATACGGGTAGTAATGTAAGGCTTCGATATTTTCTTCGTGTGACCATTGCACGTCGATTAACGGATATTGTAAAAGAAATGGAAATTGTCGTACACACTTTATCCCATTATCCGGAGGTTAATTCACCCATCAAAATGGAAGTCGGCATCGAAGATTGTCTTCACATTGAATTCGAATACAACAAATCAAAATATCATTTGAAAGATGTTATTGTGGGCAAAATATATTTCCTCTTGGTACGTATCAAAATCAAACATATGGAAATTACAATCATCAAGAAAGAATCGACTGGTATTGGTCAGAATACATTTAATGATAATGAAATCATTGCCAAATATGAGATTATGGACGGTGCACCGGTACGTGGAGAATCCATTCCGATCAGATTGTTTTTGGCTGGCTATGATCTAACACCAACGATGAAAGATATTAATAAAAAATTTTCCGTTCGTTATTATCTGAATTTGGTGTTGGTTGACGAAGAAGAACGTCGATATTTCAAACAACAGGAAATTATTCTTTGGCGTAAAGGTGATCGTATTCGACGTACAATTCCTACACAACAGCAACAACCATCACAACAATCGGCAGCAATCATACAGCCAACACAATCATCATTGCCGTCATCGGCATCAACAGTACAACAACAGCCACAACCACAAGAAGCATAATCACAACGTGTGGATCGAATTGGATCGACTATTATTAATTTTTTTTTTGGGGCCGATTTCATATTCCAAATTATTTTTTTTAATTATCAAAAAAAAAACATTATAACACACACTGATCAGAAAAAAGGTGTGATTTATGCAATAATAATTATTAATAGTTTATAATACCGTTTGCAAAATTCGAAAAAAAAACAAAAACCAATCTCTCCACAAACAAACAAACAAAACAACACAATCATTCAATCAATCAATCAATTGATCGATCGATCGATTGATTGTATTGCATTGATTTTTTTTATATAATAAAAGCAATTCGATTAATAATAACAAGAATTGATGATTGATTCAATTTGTTCGAATAATGAAATCATAACAATTTTATTTTATTTTGTTCGTCACTAGATGGCGAGACTGAATTTGTATTTTTTGCGCTTTTTTTTCTGTTTTCAGAATCGAATTTTTTTTTTTTTTTTTTTTTGATTCTTTGTTTGATGTTTGTTACGATGAATGGCCATTAATTTTGGTTGATGATTTTTAGCACTTCTTAATCGTATACAGATTGTATCCTGATTATTATTATTCATTTAAATGAAACAAAAAATTTTTATTCAGAGTATAAAACAAGATGATTCTGTTATTAACACTCCAAATAATCAGAAAAAAATTCCGGATTACCATCTGTATACGTATCAAGATAGCACTAATGTATTGTTTGGTATTGGATCCATTGGATTCTGTAAAGATGAAAAAAAAACGATTACAATCAATGTTCATATCGAAATCTTACCCATTTGAGAATGAATTATTCCTGTTCCTTATGAAACGTCAATGTTGAAATGAACGTCGAAGAATTTTGAAGTTTCATTGACGATGAATAGAATGAAAATGAACAAATATTGTTTGTTTGACAATGGAAGTGATGAATGTACAAAACAAAACAAAACAAAACAAAAACTATAAATTCAAATGACAAATATTTTTTTTTGTTGTTGTGTTGTGTTTGTGAAACTTGTGAAACGCCCAAATCTATATATATGTGTGTGTGTTTATTGTGATCATCATAAATATGCGCAAAAATCATCATCATCATCATCATCACATCACATCAAGACACGAACAAATATTCTGGATCGAATGACGATAAATTTTGATTATGAATATGGATTCTGTTGCTGTGTATGTATTCCGGTCGTTGACTACATTTTTTTTTTTTTTTTTTTTTGGATTCGATTACAGTAAGTGAACATTTCGTTTTTTGTTGCTGTTATTTTTGTCTTTACTTGAATCTATTCAAATACCATGATTTGATGAATTCTTTGTGTGTGTGTATGTGTGTATGTGATATTCACTGAACCGATTGTCACTTAATTCATCAACAGTCCATTTAGTTTGTGTATGCCCGGTGTGAGAGTGTGTGTGTGTCGCATTGTCCAACCTACTAACCATATGAAATGAAAAAAAAGCACACATATACAATAAGCGAATCACATTCAATCTAATATAATAAGCAAATACAATTGTTGAATGAAACCAAAATGAATGGCAAAATGAATATATATCTATCTCAATGATAATATATGTTTGATGAGAATGCGCGTATCCATTTTGTAACGATATGTATGATACACAGATACACAAACACACCATGATTCCATCCAACAATGATTCGGCGGTCATCACGATGATGATGATGCTGATGATTATTTATCAGTATCATGATCAGTGGTAAAATGTGCAAAAAAAGTCATAACCTTAAAATGAAAGTCTATACTCACTGTATGTGTGTTCATTTTAGTTAAAGTTTTGTCCAAATGGTGATAAGCAATGAAAAAAAAAAAAAATAAAATAACGACGACAAAGACGTTTTGTTGTTGTCCCTCTCTCTCTCTCTAGCCATTTGTACAGAAAAAAATGGCATCCCGAAAGATTTTTCTTTCCCTTTTCTCTTTTTTAACGACTTTTTTCTCTCTCTGCCTTTTCACATTCACATTCAGACAATTCCAGAATATATCAATCTGAATACATCTCAATAAATGGATAGTTTTGTGCATGTGTGTGTGTGTGTGTGTGTTGCGCGTGTTTGTTTTATAAGTAAAATACATTTGAATTTGTACAAAATGTAAGAAAAAAAACAAAAACAAAACGGAAATGGCAGATTGTCCATGATGATGATGATGATGGCCAGTTTTGTAAAGTAAAAATAAAAATTCGAATCTATAATGAATTATTTTCACTGTTTGGATGTCAAAATGGATCATATAAGGGTGTTTTTGATTCAATTTTGTTGTTGCTTGAATTCTAAATCTCTGGATCTATTGGTTATACAAAAAGATTTTCAAAGTTTCATTGTCTGTGTGTGTGTGTGTGTTCATCGAATAAAGATTTTGATGTATTCAGTTTGGTCTCTTAGTCGATTTGGTCGTTTTTTTTTTTTTTTTTTTTTTGTCAACAGATGAAAAACAAAATTCGAACCAGATTTTTATGGGTTATTTTTGGAGCAATTTTTTTGCTTTCTTTATCGGTAATAAACACACACACACAGTTTGGATCGGAAAAATAGATAGATTCTTTTTTTTTTATTTCAATTTTGTTTTGTTGTTTTTCCTGGCTGGCTGGCCAATATTGTACATGACTTTTGTTACATTTATCAGATAATGTCCATGATTTCAATTTGGTTTCACTTTCATCTTTATTCAACATTGAATGATCCAAATGGTCAATCTTCTTCTTCTTCTTCTTCTTCTTAGCAATAGATGAATGAATGAATGGACATTAAGATTAATAGGAAAAAAAATCACTTAATTTATGTTTGGCCAATGAAAGTTTCTGGTTGTTCATTTATTAGATTGTCGTAAAAAAAATGAAGAAGAAAATTTTCACAAAAATCTGCTAAAATTTGGTGAATTTGTTACTTTTTTTTCGGCTAATTTCAGTTTTTCATCGTTTATAATAGAATTTTCAAATTGTGTGTCTTCTCACCTGTTTTCGATTTGATTATTCCCAGTGACTAGATGATGGCAGTTTATGGCATTTTTTTTCTCGCTGAAAAAAAACCACCAAAATCTAAGCGGATCAAATGCGAAATCCATGTGTCTGATTTTTTTTTTTTTTTTTTGATCCTATAATGTTGATATTTAGCATGTGTTGGATTGTTGGTTGGTTGGTCGAATTGGTGTGCATGTTTGATCCATCATAATAAGCACAAGCAATCACATGAATCATGTAATTTATCATTTCATTTTCATGAATCTTTCGGCGATGCTTTTTTGTTGTTGTTGTTGTTGTTGTTGCTATTTCATCCACACAAAGATCAAACAAAAAAAATTTTTTTCCACCACAAAGAATTTCATAAATGCACATGTTTGACCCTTTTTTTGTTTGTTTGTTTGACATGTTTACGACCGCACATTCATATTCGGTTTTACTATTAAAAAATTCAATTCAATTCAACTCAATTGAATTGAATTGAATTGAATGGAATTTTTTTTTCACTCAACCAGTCGCTTTCGATTATTATCATCTACAACAACAACAACAACAACAACGGCAACAATGATGATGATGATGATGATAATTCTCAAATAGAATTGAATCATAATTCTTGCTGTTGTTGTTGTCACTGTTATCATCAAAGAATTTCAATTTTTTTCAAAAAAAAAAAAATAACTTTGGCATCAGGCCTTTTTTTCCTAGACGAACATGAATAATAATATTATGGTTTTTTTATTTTTAAAAATAAAGTCATTATCATCATAATGCCAATGTCTGAATGAATGAATGAATGAATGAATGAAATTCGACAAACAAAACATTCAAACACATGAGACATACACGCGTCAAACAAATGTCAATAATGGAAAAAGGAAATTTTTCCATTTTCTCCATTTGTCTAGCAAAATATATTGATGATGCATGAGTGTGTGTAGTGTGTGTGTGTGTGTGTGTGTGTGTGTGTGTGTGTGTGTGTGTAAACAGAACGAAAATTTTTAAAATTTTAAATGTTTGAATTTTAAAAATAAATTTTGGAATCAATTTTTCTGAATACTGAAAAATTCAATTCGATTGAATTCGATTTCATCGTTTTGATGTTTTTTTTCCAATTTGTAAAATATATATTGGTGATGTGATTAAAAAAAACCGTGTGGTTTTTTATTTTATTTTTGTTCACTATTTTAATCAACGACCACCCATTAAGATTTTAATGATGATGATCATCATCATCGCTTGTCATCATCATATCTTCACATATACGATGATGATGGTAGAGAAAGAAAAAAAACAAGAGGATTGTGTATTTGGCTGGTTTTTGGTTGTCACCGACAGGTTGATTGAATGATGATGATGATGATGATAAGAGAAAAAAACAAGAATCCCCGAAATTGATCTTTAACATTTTCACAGATATTGAGTATGTGTTTGTGGATGTGAATGATAAATACAATTGATGATTAAGACATTACAAAATCAACAGTAATATATGTTCAATGTTGATGTGTTTGATAGATATCCATGATGATGATTACCAAAATCTTTTTGTTGTTGTTGTCTATGTTTCATGCCAAAATTTTTTTTTTTTTTTCTTAAAAACAACAACAACAACAATTCTTTTCATTTCTATTCAAATTCCGAATTGACCATGACCATTGACCGTAGCCATTATCATATTCACCATATAATTATCAAACCCTTCATCATCATCATTGTGTGTATGATGGTTATTTTTTTTCATTTCATCTTGAATTGTGTTGTGTATGTGTTGCATGCATCAGTCAAAAGTTTTTTCTTTTGACCATTTCGTTTGAACTCAAAACACGAACAAAGAAAAAATTATGCCCAACAAACACACTGAACATTTGGAGCCGATTTTTATGATCGTTTTGTTGTTGTTGTTGTTGTTGCTTCTTGTGTGTGTGTGTGCATGATTCGAATCAATATCGTTTCGATTTTTTTTTCATATGGATGAATCCAATTCAATCTTTTTTTCTTTTCTTGTCTTTTTTCTTCGTTGCAATTTCTAAAATATTGAACCAATTGTTGTTTTTGGTATTTTTTATTTTCGAAAACAGTTATTCAGTTCTGGTTCAAATTTTTTTTCACCATTCATCATTGTTCATTTTTTTTTTTTTTTTTTTTTGGTTGAATGATTTTTTTGACTGGCCAACTGTGGTACTAATTTAGAAAATTGGATGATGTACAACACAACAACAACAACAACCATAGTGCCATTGTTTGCATGGGGTTTTTTTTCTTACCAAGCTAGCCACACCTCTATTTCATTGAATTAACAGGGGTAAAAAAAAATTGGTTGAAAACACGCACTTCATTGGTCGAGTTGTTGCTGTACGTATGGTACGTATTTAGCCGCATTATATAGATGGTTGCGTGTGTTGTGTGTGTTTGTTTGTTTGTCTACTACTATTCATCATTGCTTCTTCTACATTATTTCGTTACTGAAAAAAATTGACACTATAAATAATTTGTTGTTGTTGTTGTTGTTGTCGTTTTTCTATATACTCGATTTTTTTGTTGTTGTTGTTTCTGCGGTGTAGATGAATTCAATTTCAATGATGGAGATGTCATTTAATTCGTGTTTTTTGTTGTTTTTGTTGTTGTTGTTGAAAGAATTTTAATCTGAATTCAACAACAACAACAACAACAATTGATTAAAACAATTCATGGTGTGTGTGAGGTCGATCGGTTTTTTACTTTCATATGAGGTGTATATATCATTGTGATTTGATGGTGTAGAACGAAACAAATCTTATCTTTTGGGGGAAAAAAATTTCTGGACATAAAATTAAAGAATTTCCAAACGAAAATGCTATAATGATAATGTTAATGATCATTAAGATTGATTATTTATCTGATCGAAATAAACCTTGGTTATATATAATGATAATAATAATGACCATTAATGTTGTTGATAATGGATAACGTTATCGATGATGTGTATGTTTGTGTGTGTGTTTTTATTTTGTGACATATAAAACTTGTAAATTAGTTATATAATTAGTGTTTAATCATCATCACCAATATTATGATGATTAAAAGTGATCGATTATAGAAGCCAATTTTTATTTCCATATAATAATGATTTAAAAACACAAACACAAACGCCAATAATGAGCGAATTTATTCTAATCAATCAATCAATAAATGTATTTACAATAGTAGATAAGAAATAAAATGGAATCATGCTCATCATCATCATCATCATCATTCATTCATTAATTTCTTGTGTGTTTGAATTTCAATTCTACAAAATGGTTTTCCATCTACAGAATACAATATCCAATCTAATAATCGTACATAAATGATTATATGGAAAGGGATAAAAGACTGGATAAATCTAAGTGGATGATTCAATTGAATAAATAAATAATAATAATGGTGATGATGATGATGATTATATTTTAAAAATGATAAAAATTCTGTCCGGTTCAATTTCTGTTACGTTCTGAATTACGTTGTATGGTTTTCTTATTCTTCATACGACGATTCTGGAACCATATTTTTACTTGTCTTTCAGTTAGATTCAGATTACGTGCCAATTCCCAACGTTTTTGTTTCGATACATATTGATTGAATAGAAATTCTTTTTCCAATTCTAATGTCTGAAATTTAGAATATGGTTTACGTTTTTTTCTTGTTGATATATGACCACCACCACCACCACTACTGTTGTTGTTGTTGTTATTCATTGGTGTCACAGATGCCGTTATAGCTGATGATGATGTTGTTGATGATAATGATGATGATGGTGTTGTTGCTTGTTGATTTGTTGAACTAGCTGTATTTGAATTTGAATTTATCAATGTTGAATGATGATGCATATGATGATGTGGAAAATTATTCATCGATTGATGTAATGTATGATTATGATGATGATGATGATGTGAATGATGTAATGGATGTGCATTTGAATGTTCATGATGAAGAGGATGATGATGATGATTCAAACTACCGGCAGTAGGTATTAATCCACTGGTTGTATTACCATTTGGCCATTCTAAACGATCACCTGTAACCATATGATGATGCGGATGATGATGATGATGGTGATTAGCGGCAATTGAATTTGTTGTAGCTGCCGCTTGATGTAATAATGCAACCTGATGTTGAAGTACAGCGGCTGCCGCTGCAGCTGCATGATGATGATGGTGTTGGTGGTGGTTGTGGTGGTGTTGGTGTTGGTTGGGATGGTTTGCTGCTGTTATCAATGATGTTTCACCTCCTGATGATACTAAATGGTGTTTGTTTTTTTTTTTTTTTTGAAAACGAAACGAAACGAATGACAATGAAATTATTATTAGAATTATATAATACCAATTAGAGAAATTGTAATAAAAACATTTTTGCTCCTGCAAATTGCCAGAAAAAAAAGCGAATTTTCATTTTATTACCGGTCAACTCATACAACACACACACACACACAATGTTTGACACAATGAATGTGATTCAACTTTGATTTGTCATCGATGACCTAGAGAGGTCATGACCATGATGGTTGTAGTTAGGTGACCGATGGTCATAAAGATGGACATGTCCCTTATAGCCACTGTTATGATTATGCAATAATAGACAAACAAAAACAAACAAATTGCAAAAAGCCGCCAATCTATTTTTGGGATTTTTGACCCATCATATCATGCATTCGGGTCATCTTGTTGTTGTTGTTGTTCCACAATTCAATCCAAATGTTTTTATGGCGATTATATGGTAGAAAAAAAATGTGAAACAATTCATGTATAAAACAACAACAACAACAACAACAATCTGAAAAATTTTATTTTCCAAAAAGCTTCAAACCAATTCGTTTCAAATTTTTTTTTATTGCTTCATAGGGTCTGGTCATCATTTCTTGTCTTGTTTTTTTTTGATGTGAATAATAATTCCTGAACGGCTTTAAATTGTTTCTTGTTTGAAATTCGTTCGTTTTTTCTCTCTTTTCGGACTTTTGATTTTTCCTAAATTGTCAAATTGTAGAACTGTTTTTTTTCTTCTTCTTCATATCATTCATCAGAGATGAAAATGTTTGATTTTCATTAAAATAACAACATTGCCACCCAATTGGCAATATTCTATTTTTGGATCGACAACAACAACAACAAAATTCTTTCAAACAACAACAACAACAACAAAAACGTTTGATACACGCGTGTGTGTGTATGCATTAATCTACATCTTATATAAATGTTATGTCAGAAGAAATAAATTTGTGAACCAATAAAAATAAACGAAGAAAATTTGAAAGCGAAAAACTTTTATGATCTGTTTTCATCTTGGTTATCATATTCATTCATTTTCATTGTTGTTTTCTCTATATATCGCTCTCTGCATGTTTTCTTGGATCCAATTATTTCTATGAATTTGAGACGAATGAATGTAAAAAAAAATAATTACGATATGGTCCCTATAGAATGTTGTCTATTTTGATTCGATTCTAGTTGACATTTTTTTTCTCATTTATTTCATGAAAAGAGAATCTAATTTTCCTAATGGAATTTTTTTTTTTTTGTTGTTGTTGTTGTTGTCTCCATTGATTGGTAATCAAAATATTTCATGAAAAGAGAATCTAATTTTCCTAATGGAATTTTTCTTTGTTGTTGTTGTCTCCATTGATTGGTAATCAAAATATTTGGTGTGTTCAATCATTGGACAAATATTTATATATTCTACATTATAGTTGAAAATGAAAACTGAATTGAACATTTCTCCGCTATAGAACTGAATATCCAAAAAACAAAATGTGGAAACGGAATTTTGATATGACAACAACAACAACAATCCCATCACATACATGTGTGTGTGTGTGTGTGTCTGTTGTTGATTGTGTACAGTTTTTTTTCTGGTTGTCTATTATTGCCTTACATGCATACATGTAAACACACATCAACCAGACAATTGAATCTTCGTTTTTGTTTTTTTTTTTTTGTTTTGCTGAATGAAGACAGAACTACAGCAACAGCAACATAAACATCAGCAAGAAAATTGAAGAAGAAGAAGAAGAAGGAAAAAAACGAAACAGAACAGAAAAAAAGCTAATAGACCACGCGAAGGTCATAAAAAATGACTAAAATTTGCAAATGGCTGCCATCCATCCATCCATCCATCCATTCTCATTCTCATTCTCATTCTCATTCTATTTCTTTTTCATATCATCATCTCTCATTCATTTAAAACCAGCCAAACATTTTATTCATTCATTCCATTCATGCATGGTGGTGGATAGCTTTCCAACCAACCAGCCAGCCAGCCAACCAACCAAGCAAGCAGTCAGAGAATGATGGAGGAGAAAAAAAAGAAGAAAAAAAAACTCATAAAATAAAATTAATCCATGGCAAATATTTGGGCAAAATGAAAATATACGAATAGAATTTGTTAAATTGGAAATATGCACCATTCCAGATTCATACTAGTGTCATGTTTTGGTTTCTATACCAGAAAAAAACGAAACAAAGCAAAAACCATGAACATTGAATGTGACGATTGGCCATAGTCACACATTCAATTCAATTCTGTTTTTTTTTTGTTTGTTTTTTTGGGGTAAAACATAAATTCCATCGACATTTGACCTGGCCAGTTGGCTTGTTGTTGTTGTTGATGATGGATCATCATGATGATGATGATGATTTCTACCGTTGTCAATTGACTATTATCAACGAAATCTTGTAAATGTATTTTTTTTCGTTCGTCGTTGGTCTTATCTACAATTTTTTTTTTTTTTTTGGTTGCTTCTCGTCCATTTTATTTATCTCAAATGGTGATGATGGCTTTGGTTGTCATCATATACACACACACACATACAGATGACCGCCTACATGACCTGCGAATGAAAATTTTCAAAACTTTTTTTTATACAATCTAATATCATTATATTGTATGCGGTAATGGTGGTGGTGATGGAGTATTTTACGACCTTTATGCAGGGGACAACCAAAAAAAAAACAATGATGATATGAGAATGACAAGACATGATCAGACTACCAGATTATGTAGTTATGATGATGATGATCATCATGATCATAATCCTGATGATGAATTCCATTCACTTGATTTTTACCTTTCCGTTTTTTTTCTGGATCAAAATAATCCTTTTTCATTCTTTAAAATTTATATGTAGAGAAATGGTGAGAGAGAGAAAAAAAAAAAAACATCATTTTGATCATCACCACTGATTGATCGTTAATCGTAAATTAATTAGTTTTTATATACATACATACATTGAATTATCAACTTGAAATGGAAACATTTTTTATTTTTAAATTTGATCAATTTGATGATTAGGTTGTTGTTGTTGTTTTTGTTGTTGATAATAATCGTAATTTACAACATTTAAATCGCTAATGATCATCATCATGATCATTCAGTTCAGCGAAAATAAACATAAACATTACAGATATAAAAGAAAATGTTGATTGTGTGAAAATATCAAGTTTATCTATTCCCGGACGACGACGACGAAATTCCGATCATTGCACCCAAATAACCACGGGCTTAGTGTGTATCAGTGTCAATGTCAGATCATCAGATCATTACCATCATTCTTTTTCTCTTAGTAAGATAATGAGAAAATTGAGTGAAAAATGTCAAAATTCTGATCAAAAAACACACACACATGCACCTACAAATTGAATCATAAACTCTTTTTTGTTGTTCCTGTTGCTGTTTGTTTGTTTGTTTGTTTTTTTTATTGATTTATATTCACCAATAATTTCATTGTTTCAATGTTGCAACAACAACAACAACAAAAAAATTTCCTTTTTCCTCATTCATGATGATCATTTATTTTCCTTTTTTGTATCATTGTGTGTGTGTGGTTGTTTTTTTATTCAATGTTGTTAAATGAATAATAAATTTTTTTTCCTTTTATTTTCCATTTTATATTTCACATCTAACGCACTCATATATTATGAGGCAATGAATGAATAAATGAATGAATGATGGTGACACACCACAATGAGAGCAAGCCAGAGAGAGACATCATTGTCACATCAAAAAATGGACAGAATAACCAATAAAAAAACCAACAACAGAATTGAATCATAAAAAATGAAAATTTCGATTCCAACAAAAACATCATAATGAAGCATCATCATTGATGACCCAAAAATCTATATATCAAATACACAAACCCGGTGTTGTATCGAATCAAAAACCAAAGGAAAATGTTGGCTTCACTGTCCTTAATAATAGCCGTTGCTTATCGACGAACGTTCAAAACAAACTCTATAATGCTGTCTGAATGATAGTGAACAACAACAAACATTTTTAGATTGTCTTCAATTTTCAAAATCTAATCATCAAATGAAAAAATAAATTGAACATGGCCAATCTCAATCAAACAAATAACAACAACAACAACAACAACAAAAACAACATCTGCTGCCATTTTCTAACCTTCATCATGATCATGATGATCAGCCAAAAAAAAAAAAAAAAAAAAACCTCGATGAAGAAATGATTCCCATGATCAGCAGCAGCAGCAATAAGAAAGAAAGAAATGAACAACATTTCAACGACATAATCTCATCGTCGTCGGCCAGACTCTATAGACGCTATATATATTTGTGGTAAAGCCCTGCGGGGAGTGAATATAATCACGAAAAAAAAGACAAGAAAAAAACAACAACAACAACATTCAAGACTAAAAGGTAAACGAAGTTATCCAAGTTGCATTACCACGCACACACACAATATGGTCAAAAGAGCAGCATCAGCAGCAGCAGGCAGACAGATGCCAAATCAAAACAAAAATGCATGATTATCAAACATGGGTATATGAT